GGGTGAATAAGCAAATGTGGTGAAGAAAGCTGATGGTGCCCGGCTATCAAAAGATATAGCGTCTAGCATCTTAAAGGCTTGAAGGTAAACAAGCGGCCATCTAGCTCAGAAGGCCACATGGAAGAAACACACCAGTCTGCGTGATCACGAGGTGCTAAAGGGATCAATTATCAGGCATCAAAGAACAAAAAATCATATCACTGTGAATGAAAGGGGGAGCGCAGAGTGGAGACCTAAAGCCCATTTGTAGGCCACTGGACATCCCCTTACCAAAGTTAACATTACCATTATTAATGAGACAGCAACATGATGGTGGGTAAATGAGAATTCTCTTATGATTTTTGTAAGTTTTTTTTAGAAAGTCAAAATTTGTTTCAAAACCCCATTGAACAAAACACAGATCAAGTTCTGGCCTATATTAGTGTAGCGTAATTTACCTCCTTTAGACCAATTACATTAACTTCATGTATGCTAGGCTCAGTATGCATAAAATAAGTGGCTTAAATTATATCCATGAATTTCAAATTATATACTGAAGACCTGTAGGGCAGGGTGGGGAGGTAGAGAAGTAATTTGGCTTCCTGCTGCTTCATTTCCCTAACTTTCACACCAAATACATTAGTTTGGAATACGATTCAGAAACAAAATATATGATACAACATGGATGACGATCAAATATATGCTAACCAACCAAAACACAACAATCGGTCTGTGTGTGCCTACAGCAGAAAAGGAAAAAGGAGAGTCAGGAAGAGGAGGAGGAGATGGAATGTATTGTTGATTATTTCCAATAATAACTGCCTCCCTTTGCTATGAGACCACAAGACTTGGATGGTGGTTGGTTCCAAATATTGAATATTTTGATCAAAGACTCCATAGAAGAATCCTGATAAAAAGAGGGTGAGTACAGAACAGAATTTACAAATTTCATGAACTACAGACTTTGTAGAGCCATAAAGGCTGGCTGAACCACTGATACTACTGTTCCAAGAGAACCTTTAAGTATTCAACCAAAAAGATCCCCTAAGTCTTCTGAATACTAAACAGTAGTTTATCGTAACTAGTACAGGATATCTACCTTGAGCAATATGCTATTTGAAGATCTATCTATATGGGCTCAGGAGCCCAGGAGGCACAGCGGCTGGACTACTAACTGAAACCTTGGTGGTTCAGACACACTAGCCACTCTGGGAGAAAGATGAGGTCATCACTTCCGCAGATCTACAATCTCGGGAACACTATACAGTAGTGCAGTTCTAAAGGGTCACTCTTTATGAGTTCACTTGGCAGTGAGTCCTTTTTTTTTCTTTTAAGTGAGATCAGATGGACAAAATCAACTCAAAAGATTAGATAGAAATTGTAGGGGGAAGGGGCTTTATGTTAATGGAGGAAGAAGCAGAGGGTAAAATGGTTTCACAACCTCAAGAATGCAATCAGTATCAGTGAATTGTACATGTAGAAAACTGTCAAATTAGTGTATTCTTTGTTGTGTAGCTGCTCAGCAATGAAGTAACTAACTGCGTGAACTGAAATGGGCCCTGAATCAAAGGCTATGTGTAACTGAATACATAGAAAGCTCTGAAACAAGAAAAATGAAATCTATCTATCATGCATGTTATCTATTCTATATGTTATGCAGTAATATAAACTAGATGGGTGGTTGCTTGGGTCAGGGAATGGGGTTACGTGAGAACTTTCTGTGGTGGTGAAAAGGTTTGTTTTTTGGTGGTGGGGTGGGGGATGGTGGTTGCATGGAATGATACATTTCAACCAGGCACATTTTGGTAAATTATACTTCAATGTTTATTTTAAAACTTCATCTCAAAGCTTTTGCATCAATAGGCGCATTTCTGTTTCCTGATTCACTTTCAGATCACTTGAGCTTGTTGCTGCCAATTGCAGTAATACCACAAGAAAACTATTAACAAAATATTGCAATGACCTAATGTTGGATTAAATTATAAACAAATTATTCAAAATCTACCACTTACCTTATAGAAGAAATACTGTACTAGGTGTGCTATTCTCACATAATATAGATGTCCATGAGCCAACAGAAGTTTCTTCAAATGCTTAAACTTGGGAACAGAATAATCACTATTCCTGGATGCTTGGCGACCTTCCTTGCCTTTAATACCTAAAAAGAGAACATCTCTAGAGGGTGAGTATTTTATAGAGTAAACCAGCCTTAGATTTTTAAAATTTTAATATGTCAAACTTGATTGACTATTAAAGTTCAATTTTATACTTTACCTTCCTCCCACCCCAAACTAAAATGTGCTTTCTAGAAAGCAACACTGAAACTTCCCAGTAAAATATGAACTAAAATGTAAACAAAATATAATTTGTCACGACGTATTTGCAACATTAATATGAAAAAAGGGACTAGAGCCACTAGTTTAATCATTACTGGGCAAAAATTATTGGGAGGAAAAAAACTGAACCTGAATAGCATTTTTAAAGCTGCTTAGGAAGTACTTAATTATGCAGGGCACAGAGACCTAAATTCTCTAGTAAGACAGCTCAAAGACCAAGGATTTCTGTTGGGGAAGCTTAAAACTGAAGAGTTATAGTGGAAAGATGGCAAAAGGTTTTTATTGAATGAAAAACTCAGAAGTAGCCAAAGTATCCCATGAGCTCTGACAGGTTTAGGCCATTCCCCTACTGGATGGATGACTGATGAGTACAACTTACAAAAGTTTCACAGCACAATGGGCAACTTTCAAATGGAAAGAATCTGGGAATCCAAAGTGGAGTACAGTGATTCTCAAGATTCGAATTCCATATTCCCCTCTGCCCCCCACCTCAAACCAATAAAGACTTGCTAAGGTGTTAGCTTTGCTATCTTGAAGCAGCCTGATGGAGGGAGGAGAGGAGGGGGATGGAGCAGGTGGTAGAAAAGCTGTGGCTGGGCTGCAACGTATAAATTAGCACTACATCCCCAACTGTCCATAAATATTGTCAGTACTTAGCCTTCAACAGTTAAAACATCACAAAAGATAGAATGCGGCAACCTACGTAGGTGGCCTGGCCAGGATAGGAAAATCAATACAGTTTCATGCATCCTGTCCAAGTGAGAATGGAATGATTGATTGTACTGCCAATGGGTTTCAGAAAATCACTTTACTTGGCCAATATGAGGATAGCCTTTCAATTGGTACCACTACATTCCCACCAAGGGTGGGGCCTTGGGATAAACATGTTCCATGGTCAGATGAGGAGGCCCTTGATGTGATTAACAATCAGCATCCCCACACTCAAATTCAGGATGAGCAACCAAATTAATCTCTCCAGAGTTACCAGGGCCAATCCACTGGCAAGCAAGACAGGAACCATACAGCTGTTATCACATTAGGTATTTCTTACCTATTCCCACATGGGATTCCAAGATCATACTAACATCATTGGCACCATCACCTATCGACAGTGTTATTGGACTGCCTTTTAAATTCTTCACCATTCTGACAATCTAAACATTAAATAAAAGAGAAGTATAGACAAAGTCAAGTAGAATGCAAGACTGGATGACATTTGGGGGGTTAGGATGCACACATACTTCTACATAGAAGCCAGTAAAACAGACAAAAGGTTTGCACATATAAGTATAGCAGTTCAGAATTCTCAGATGCAGTATAACACAACTATTCAAAAAATACCACCATTGACCACTTGTTACTGGTGCTTATGGTCGAAAGCTTGGTCTTTGACACAGATCAATGTTCGACATGTTTCCCTCTTTGGTCGTTGTTTCATAGGCTATTTCACACGAGATGTTGACTGTTTGTCAATGGAGGTCCGGAAAGTGATTTGGAGGGCAGGTCCAGGGCCATTGGAAAACAAGTGGGAAGTCAAGGAACCCTGTTGACATAGCCCCCCACCCCCACCCCGGACACACTCTAATCCTTTTCTCTGGAACTCAGCTAAGGTTGCACTTTTCCTCCCATCAAGCCATCTACTAAGCTTTTTTTTTTTTCTACTAAGCTTTATTAAACTTCCCACTGCTCAATATGGCTTGGCCTTTCCTATGGGAAGCTTTATTTTAAAGGAGGACATTATAAAAGTGGTGAGGTTTGCAGAAAGATGTCCAAAGTGTGTATATAAAGTCTGTCACTACTCTCCCGAGTGTCTCCTCAGGAAGTGTCAATGGTACAATCAGGTTCAGTACTGTGGGTATGGCAGGTACCGAATAAAATAGTCACCTCCAGTGTTCAAACACTTCTGATTTGAAGGTCTCTCACTCAAACCTTCTCTTGGCAGAAGAACTTGTGGAAAGTGTACTGGGTATGCAGTCACTCTCCCACCTTATATTTCAGATAATGATTGAATGATGTGTCAACTCTCCAAGCTCTCTTACATCAGAAAAACCTAAATAATTCAGTACCTAAACAACACCTTGTAAAAACTCTGCCCCTGTGATAAATAAAACCCAATGTCGAACCAAAATCGAATAAAAATAATTTATGAGAGGCTAAGGCGCCTCAATCTTTGCTTTAGACACAATTTGGTCAGGTTCTACTTGTATTAGAAAGCACGAAAATATGATGTGACAATAGCTGATAACAAATCTAAGAAGATGAGTGTGACAGGCAACTGGAGATGGAAAGGCTAGAGTGCTCAAGGATTCAGAGCGGAGAGTGCAACTTGGACATCACCGATATGGGCACAACAGATGAGTGAGTGATAACTTACAGTGAGAGAAAAATGGACTGAGGATTGAATCACAGGGGCTCCATATTCCAGGTGCAAGAGGCAGCATGAGGTCAGGAGTTCAGACACTTCCTAGGAGGAGCAATTTGAGCAGCAGACACTGAATGAAGGGAAGAAAGTGAGCCAACAGAGAAAAGCCTCTGACCAAGGAGAGAGCTTTCTATTACGTACTGTTCTTGTTGGAACTGAATCTCCATGTGGTGAAGGCTAAAGAAAAGAAAGCAGAGCTCCTAATTTTATGAAGTCTGAGAAGATAATGGGCAGAGACAATGCCCCAGATGTACGTGAGTGAGTGAGCTTTGAAGGAGTGGGCTGTGTGTAAAGAGGAAGTCCAATTCAGAGGCACCACCACTTCCTGATCTAGATGAAGGAGCTGAAGAATCTGAAGCGGTAGGCCTAGCAAGCACATTTAAAGCATACATACAGTATATATAAAAATGAGAAAATAGGTCACTGATATTCTAAAGACTATCAAAGTAGAAGGAAGCCTGCTACGGCCAACCGATAAAAGTTGGAAAAGTTAGAAAACACAGTATATGGGAAGTGTTGAGTACAATTTAGGCCCAGATGAGCTCAGAGAGAAAAGCTATGTAAGGTGGCTAGAGTATGGCATCATGAAGGGACACAAAGGGGAAATAACTAACCAGGGTGGAAGTTTCATGCTGGATAAGGGTCCCGGTTCTACTCGGCACACATGGGGTGGGTCTCCATGAGTTGGAATCAACCAGATGGCATCTGGTAATAGACGTCAAATATGGGGATGTATGTTAACAGTCCAACAAGGTGGTCCCCAAGTGCCAGAAAGAGTCATTTGGCCTTTATGCTAAGGGACTAGGAAACCACTATGGTGTCAGAGCAAGAATATGCAGTGGAAGTAATGTTTGAAATGATTAATTTGGAAGAATGGAACAATCAATTACAGGGCGAAGGGCTGATGGAATGAGACCAACAAGAAGACTAACTTAAAAGAAACTGTTCAGAGAGTGAGGCGGACTCAAGACTAGGCTGGTGGTGATGGGCCTAAAAAGATAGCACCAAAATGAGAGCTGTGACAAAAGGCAGGATTGACAGGACATGGTGCCATCACATAAAGTGAGGGAGAAAAGAAAGGTCAAAGGTAGTTTTGAGACACTAGGGACAAATGAGAAATGGCACTGGTCACAGCAATAATGAGGACAACGGAAAAACAAAGTGCCCTGAAGGAGATAAGTGTAAGAGCTGTCTTGGTCCCCAGAATTTCATGTGATAGTAGTGAATCTATATGGAGCTATCTGGCAGGCAGCAAGAAATATGAGAAAAAATGCCAGGAAAAAGTCACGCTAGAAATACATCAGTGGGAGTCAGAGAAATGGATGGTCACATCCAGACAAAGAGAGCCCTTGAGATAAAAAGTGGAGGGCAGATTGAGCCCCAGAGAAAACGGACATCTAGGGAGACGACAGAGAACAGAAGAAAATTAAAAGACACTAGATTGCCAAAGACGAAGAACAAGCCAGGGCCATGAACTAGCAGAGAAACCAAGGGGCGAGAGTGTAAGAAAGATCTAATTAGTAATGTCAGATGGGGTGGAGACACGAGGAGAATGGGAGGCAGCACAAAAGGCGGGGACAAGAAGGCCATTGCTCTCCTCCCAGCAAGCGAGCAGTGTAAGATGCAAAGAACCAATGCAAGGGAGCAGTGGAATGGGGTCAGTAGGCACCACATAGTCATTGGTGAAGTTCAGAAGGCAAGGAACTACAGTCAGCGTGAGGGGACAATAAGACTTTCAATTCAAATTGGAGAAGACTCATGAATTTGAGAAGAGGCAGAAAGCAGAGAAGATGAGATGAGGCACTAATAATAGCTCGTTAAAACAAAAAGTAAGGATGAACATTCAGACGAATGAAATGTCTATAGAAGTACCCAGACAGGAACATTCATTCATCTCCACAATTACCTGGGCTTTCTGTAACGGGGCCATCCGACAGCAGAGTACCGCAGTGCACTTCATACAGATTTGTAGGAAAATGGATTTGTAATTGTTTGAACTAGAGTCTTGACTAGAATTTAAAATGAGTGACAATGTGGAACCATCGATGATTAATCCATATTCCTGGTGCTCTGTCCATGCTCTAAAAAGAGGGAAAGGAAAGAAAAGAAATCAAACGCTCTGTTTAGATCTAGCACACATTTGTATTTAGGGTCTCCAAGAAGAAGAGTAAGCAGTCTGGTTCCTTGACCTGTCCATTCTCAAGGAAAGCAGCAGCTGCCCCAAACAATGGCACAACTGAGAATTGAGACTTCTAATCATAGCTTTGCGACTGAAGCTACCTGTATAGATGACCGGATTCTAAATAAAGAAGGTTGAGGAGCCTGCTTTTGAACAAGAAACTCAAAAACAATTTTAGGAATTACAGATCAAACTTTTATATGTACAAAGTCATCAATCTGGAAAGCCTTTTAACAACACAGGAAATGGGCAAAATGGCTTTGGGGTTAAAAACAGGAACAGGAAACCCTCTGCTCAAAATCTTTGCCCAAGTGGCAAAACCCAACAGAGCATGGCTTCTCAAATGTGGTGGGATGCCTGACAGAGTGCTCATTGAAACACTGGGATATGCTCCTTAAATAAGAACCACTTTACATAACTTGGTGGTCCGCAGACGGAGCTTTTTGGCACCTTTCCCCAGGGCAGCTTTACAAAATTGGTCACGTCCAGGGTCCCTCCCCACACCAGTTACATCTAAGTACCTGTGGCAGGGTTTGGGCATAGGTATGTTTGAAATAAAAGTTCTTTAGGTGATTCTAGAAGGAGTACTGGTGGTACAGCAGGTCAGTGCTTGGCTTCTAACCAAAGGGTCTGCAGTTTGAACCCACCAGCTCCTTTGTGGGAGAAACATGTGGCAGTGTGTCATCATAAAGATGTCAGCCTTGGCAACCCAATAGGGCCATTCTACTCTGTCCTATAGACTCGCTATGAGTTGGAATCAACTTGATGGCAGTGGGTTTCCGTGGTTTTAATGTGTAGCCTGTCTTAAAAGACAGTCGATGTCAGGAAAAATAGGGAAAACAGATAAGTGACAAAAGTCTCAATCAATGAACTTTTTCTTTTTTCAATTAGAAGATAATTCGAGAGTAATTATTTTTGCTCAAAAAATCATGGGTGTCATTTGAGAACAACAGCAGTGGGCAGGGACCCACAGCAGGGTCTCACAGTTATCAAGTCACTGGTCTCATTTCAAGCTTCTCAACCTTTGATGTGCAAAGGAATCACCAGCAGATCTTGATCAAATGCAAGCGGGGGATAGGACAGGAGGCTGAACATGTCTGGCAAACTGTCCACTGGAAAGGGCGTTTCTGGGTTACCTTTGGGGGAGTGAAAGCTTAAAACACTGCATTGTTTTTTGGTGCACACTCTTTTGAGTGTACTGCTAACACTGAACTAGCCTGTACTTATTCAGACGGCTTCCTGTGTGCTCTTTCTCTCTGTGGAGAAACGCCCCTGTCTTCCCCCGCTCCCCACCCTCCAAAAAAAAACCCCAAACCAAACCTAACTTATCATCAAGTCAATATTGACTCATAGAGACCCTATAGGCCAGGGATTTCTGAAACTATAACTGTTTATGGGAGTAGAAACCTTCATCTTTCTCCCCAGGAGTAGCTGGTGGATTCAGTTGCTGATTTTGTGGTTAGCAGCCCAACGGGGCAAACCATTATGCCACCAGAGATCCCCTGGAGAAAACAATGGCTTGGCAAATCAATCAAGCAATTTGTATAAACACCAGCCCAATGGAGGAATACAAAGAATGATTGACTAATTTTTCTTTGGAGAAAATAAAATTTTTTTGCAATATATATGAGAAAATACATCCAACTGAACCTGACAATACATGGCCAATGGTCAGTGACTGAGACAATAAGTACCCACAGGAGAAGACAGTGGGTGGTCAGGAAAGGCCTTGGGGAAGACAGAGAATGGAAATAGGGTTTGAAAGACAGGACTGGAAAAAGTGGTGCAATGGGAAATCAGGTCACTATGGCAGACTGAGGCCTTCTGTTCAATCGGATTCTGTGGTATGGGTGGCTCTTTCCTTAAAAGCCTCTCATTTTGGTGCAGGGACTTAAGGGATCTGTAGCCTGTGGTGCTAGGAATTGGATGTGAATGGAGCACAGGATGTGGGAACATGGATGAGGCGTGGTTGATATGATTTTCAGGAGGCAAAGTAGCTGAAGTTGGAAAACATGGTTCTGGGTTTGAAGTCAGTGTAGCTGGGAAAGGAAGGGATGGTCTGATGTGATTGGGGCATATGTTTTTGTAAGACTTGGATTTTACCCCCAAAAATGCCCACAAGTTGTTGAAGGCAACAGCAAAACAGCACTGATGACACATACAACTTTCCTCTAGTTCTTTAATGCTCCCCCCAACACACACACATCATGATCCCAATTCTACCTTACAAATCCGGTACATCCTGGTACAGATAAGAGTTATAGACACAGGGAAACCAGGACAGATGAACCCCTCAGGACCAGTGGTGATAGTGTGGCGATACCAGAGGGTGGAGGGAAGGTGGGGTAGAAAGGGGGAACCGATTACAAGGATCTACATACAGCCTACTTCCTGGGGGATGGACAACAGAAAAGTGGGTGAAGAGTGACATCGGACAGTGTAAGACATGAAAAAATAATGATTTCTAAATTATCAAGTGTTCCTGAGGGAGGGGGATCAAGGAGGGAGGGAGGGAGAAAATGAGGAGCTGATACCAAGGGCTCAAGTAGAAAGAAAATGTTTTGAGAATGATGATAGCAACAAATGTACAAATGTGCTTGACACAATGGATGTATGTATGGATTGTGATCAGAGCTGTATGAGCCCCCAATAAACCATCTGAAGAAAGGAACAAAAATCTTTGTCGTCAATATTTGTGGAAAACCTGTTTACTCTCATTGCTACCTAGGAACCGGAAGAACAATGGCCGCTTTAGAATTGGACATGCAAGGTTTTACTCCAATGTGATAAAATACGCAATATGTTTATATGAGGATGGGGAAATAGATCTATGTGCCTATATTTATAGGTTTAGTACTAAGGTAGCAGAAGGACATTGGGCCTCCACTCAAGTACTCTCTCAATGCAAGAATACTTTCTTCTATTAAATTGCCGTTCTTTGATGCTCACCTTCCCGACACAACCACTGAAGACAAAGCGGGTGAATAAGCAAATGTAGCGAAGAAAGCTGATGGTGCCCGGCTATCAAAAAGTATAGCATCTGGGGTCTTAAAGGCTTGAAGGTAATCAAGCAGCCATCAAGCTCTGAAGCAACAAAGCCCACATGGAAGAAGCACACCAGCCTATGCAATCACGCAGTGTCGAAGGGATCAGGTATAAGGCATCATCAGAACAAAAAATCTTACCATAGTGAATGATGGGGGGAGTGCGGAGTGCAGACCCAAAGCCCATTAGTAGGCCACTGGAGATCTCCTTGCAGAGGGGTCTTGGGGAGGAGACGAGCCAGTCAGGGTACGATGTAGCAAAGATGAAAAATACAACTTTCCTCTAGTTCCTAAATGTTTCCTCCCCACTCCCACTATCATGACACGAATTCTACCTTGCAAGTCTGGCTAGACCAGAGGATGTACACTGGTACAGATAGGAACTGGAAATACAGGGAATCCAGGGCGGATGATCCCTACAGGACTAGTGGAGTGAGTGGCGATACTGGGAGGGTAGAGGGAGAGTGGGCTGGGAAGAGGGAAGCGATTACAAGGAACTATATGTGACCTCCTCCCTGGGGGATGGACAACCGAAAAGTGGGTGAAGGGAGACGACGGACAGGGCAAGATATGACAAAATACCCATTTATAAACTATCAAGGGGTCATGAGGGAGGATGGAGCGGGGAGAGAGGGGAAAATGAGGACCTAATGACAGGGGCTTAAGTGGAGAGGAAATGTTTTGATAATGATGAGGGCAATGAATGTACAAATGCGTTTTACATAATTGATGTATGTATGGAATGTGGTAAGAGTTGTATGAGCCCCTAGTAAAATGATTTAAAAAATACGCAATATTAAATATACAGCATAAGAAGCCTACAGTCACGAGCGTTAATCACCACAATGTCATACAATCATTGCCACAATCTGCAAAATGAAATCTGGGGAATTCAATTTAAAGAAAGCTTGTTTACACATCATCATTACAAGTATGGCCCTAGTCGTGAATAGACTTGTCTCCCAACCTTACTAGCTAAGTGATCTCGAGTAAGTCATTTCACTTTGATGATTCTCAGTTTCCTACCTGCACAATGGAGACCATCCGCGTATCTCATGGGGCTGCTATGAGGATGACATGGGAATAATTACATACTGTACCTAACACTGGGCCTAGAATAGACAGAAGGGGCTCACAAAGTTGAAGGGGGATGGTCCAGGGTCCTTCTTGGCACATCCTGTGGCACTCCACGGAGCAATCCAAATTCCTTACAGACAGGAAGTTGGTTTGGACAAGGCTGAACCTTGGTCAGTGAGAAGTAGAGACAAATGACCTCAGAGCCTACACTACATGGCTGGCTCGCTTTGAAACCCGGAGTCCTCACCCAGCAAAGTGGGCAGGTTAAACAGTGTGCTGGCGGTGAGGGTTAAAAAAGCTCATGGAAAAATGGAAAGGAAAGACAATGGAATTTTCTCACAAGCCTTTTGAAGCTCCTTTGTATTTGATCCCCTCTCACTGTTGGGTTACCGAGTAAATACTGTAGCAAAAAAACTCCCGTGTGCTTACTTACTAATCTGTAGTGCAAAACGTCATGATGAGTTGGAATCGACTTGATGGTTTGGTTTTAAGCATTTGGAAATTCAGCTACTTTTCTAAACACAAGAAATTCAGGGTTCTCTTTCTTGCAAGGAGAGAAGGGAAATGCCGATCAATCTCCATTGAACCATCAACCAAGTCCTCAGGAAAGGGAGCAACTTTTAAAGATAAAATAGCTATACATTGAGAAATTGCAGAAAGATAATGACAGAAAATGAAACCTTCCGTGTAGTTTAAGTCTGTCCCCATGTCCAAATATAATAAATTGATGCGCTCTTACTTTGTAAGGCTTCGGGTACTTTTAGGAAATTCGTGCAGCAATTTCTTCCGATACTCTATCAGCAATTCATGTAGTCGGTCTTCTTTCCTTTCACTGTCTTCGATGGTTTTTGTGGTCAGTTCCAGAAGCTCAGTGCTGGTTTGGAAAAGCCGGCAGGCATAGCATGTAGATTTGGCTGTTTCCATCTTGTCCCCCGTAAGCACCCAGACTTTTAGACCTGCTGCATGCAGAGCTTCAATGGTCTCAGCTGCTTGATCTTGTAGCCTGCAACCACAAAGGAAGCCTGGTTATCCTCTCAACCCCGTGACAGGAATGCTGCAAGAAGCCTTGCTAAAAAGAATGTTTTTATATTCACAGCCAGTCTACAGCCCTGGCACCTTATGATAGTTGGTGTTCGGTGACGTGTCTCTTCTTCCCGCTTACCCCCATCAGTTCTAGTCAGTTTCTGATCATGGAATAAGGTTTTTCTACTTCTTTTAAAACATATTTTATTGGGTGTCTGGAGAAAATGTCCATAGGTAATTAGGTTTTTATGTAACAATTTTAATATGTATTAATGACACTGGTTATACTTTTCATCACAATGTGTCCATATTTCCACTCTGGTTGTTGTGTTTACTTTAATCTAGCATCCTTGTCCTGCCTTACCTTCTCACATTTAGTCTTGGGGAAATGGTGAACTTTAGGTCTCATTTAGATGACTGTGTACTGGAGGCAGGGTACTTGAAGATACTATTGATTTATGGGGCCTTTTAGCTTTTGAATGAGAGGTGACCACCGGGAATGGTTTTGATTCCAAGCTTACAAAGTATCCCCACGGTGACAGTGTTAGGGATGGGGGTTCCTAGATTTTATCAGTCTAGCAAGTCTGCTCTTCTTTAGCAACCTGAGTTTTGGTCTATATATTTTTCTCCGATTCTATCCAAGACCACCTACTGTTTCTTGCAATATCTCTTACAGTAACTGGTATTCTATGGTAGAATTAAGATTCATACCTCAAAGCTAAAATGTTCAGCAAGTCATTAAACATTCTCAATCACTATCACTTAGGAAATAACATGGATCAAAACAGATAAGGCCTACATTATCAATCAAATGCTAAGGGAAATTAGTGAATTTCTGTCCCAGAGCTTTCAGAACACAAAAATCAGCTATCCTGATTAAGCACAAAAGCACAATTCTGAAAAGCAAAAATCCTAACTCATAGAGACCCTATAGGATGGGATCAAGCTGCCTCTGTGGGTTTATGAGAGTAGAAAGCCCCGCCTTTCTTCCACGGAGCAGCTGGCGGTTTTAAACTGCTGACCATGCTGCCAGCAGCCTAATGTGTCACCACTCAGGGTCCTAATTCTGAAAGGTAAGATAGAAAAACAATGATTCTTTCTTTGGGTTCCTTTTAGCCAGAGAGTAACAACGATGAGATGAAATGAAATGAATTCCATCTTCTAATGTGATTAATTATATGTTTGTAACTTCTTGTTTGATTAACGCTTAAAATTTGCATTTATAATTTTTATGAAACTGCTAAAATATTAAGACTCTAAACACTCTTTCAGGCAGCTCGCTGCTGGAGCTCTCTGATCTCTCAGCAACCCTGAACCCATCCTGCAGGGCCAAGAAAGCCTTTCAAAGGTTGTGAGGACATGCAACCAGCTTAGAATTGAGCTCTCATGCTGTTCTCTTCCTTGAAACTTCCTTCCTGCTCATCTCTGTGCAAACCTGGCCTACTTTTCCACGTCTTACCTTGAATGCTGCCTCTTGCACAAAGCTCTCTGTTTACACAGGAAGGCTAGTTTAGTACAAATTAGACAACAGAGTTCAATGAAAGATTTCAAAACATGAGACTAATGGATTAGTCTGTGTAAGAGCCCACCCTAAATCACTGATCATTAAAGCAACAAGAGTGTCAAGTTTTTAGTTACTTGTCTTCCACTGCAGTGGCTCCAATTAAATTCATGTTCGTCTCAATGTCATCAAAAACCTTTTCCATCTTTTCTTCTCTGTCTTGTAAGGACATTTTTGCCTCTATGAGCTGTCTGTTCATTCTTTCATAATCATCTGGAGCAATTTCTTTAAAGGCTACACAAAGGGTCCGGTAGCCATCCTAGAAGGAAAGGAGCAGGCAGATTGGTAGTTATGCAACTAGCTGAACAAAACACACTTCTTTTAAACACTCCTATTTTACCCACATACATATATAAAAGAGAAAAATTGACAACTCAGTTTAAAAAAAAGGAAAAAGAAAAACAACTAGATCCCAATGAAATAAAATAACAATCCATTTGTGTCATTAAAAAAATTTAGCTCGAGGGTGTCAAACAAACAGAAGCAACAGAAAACAAAGATTCTTGAAAAGTGTTCAGGGCTGCAAATTCTAAACAGAAACTTGCTCCAGGATAATATTTTCAATTAAAATATGAAAATTAGCGCTTCTGAATCTCTCAAATACAAAGAGCAGACTATACCAATGAGCAGACATTCATTTAAAGTTTCATTTACACAGCAATCCCATAAGTGTGGCCAGATCCAGAGTTTCTCCCATTACTCCTGGGAGCCATGGGGGAGGTAGGCTCACCATTGCGTTCCGCTCCACATGCACTTTAGTCATCTCAATTTCATGATTTTGTACTCTGGGGAAAACAGCTGAGTCTGCTCCTTTACAAAAGAGGAGGATGTCTCCTAGAATAAAGCACCAAGATGCCCGGCTTAGAATGTTCAGGCTGTGATTGGACTTTTAATAAAGGATAGCTATTAAGGTGCCCTCTCTCATCCAGCTGATGTGCAGCCCGAGTATGTCTGGCAAATGGACTGAGACATCTTGACCTTCAGTCTGTCTGGAGACAGGAACACTCACTACCTCTTAATACTAATAGACTAATATCCTAGCATTTACAGGACGCATCTGTCTTAAAATGCACTTCTTCCCAGTGAATTGCAGTGGACTGGGCTTGGGTCAAGGTTGCACTTGCAGTCCTTAAAAATTCAGCTAATGCAGGTCAGGGAACGGTACACATACAGAAAAATTGTCAAGTGGGTATGTGTCCTGATACGTATGTTTTTATCTGGTTTTTTTTTTTCAGTTGAGGCAACATTGGTCCTGAGTGAACATATGGCTTCTATATACTTCATGGACCAAGCTCAAGTTGAAATAATTTTAATACATTATAAAAATTTGCTTTAAAAACCATGATTGAAGGGTTTCTACTGGAAAGGAGGGAGGAGCTGGGTCGAATCCAGCCTGACTGCCACTTCAGATCTTCCCATGGACCCAGGAAATCCTTCAGAGCTGGGCAGCTTCCCAGTCAGACAACCAACAAAGCTTAGCCACTCACAGGGTGTGGCTCGGAGGTTGAGCTTCTTGTAGTACTTTCCCCAGATACTTGGGCCTGTATAGTCAAACTCATTTGCAGGTGTGCACACACAAGAATGGTGTGCAGCTACACCCCTGTTCTCTCACACACCTTAAGTGTGTGTAAAAATCACAAGACAAATTCCTCAGTAACATACGAAAATCAATTTCCTGGCTTTACAGTTACACTTCAACACATCAAAAAGTGAGCTTTGTTCTCCCAAGCGTCTGTCTGCATCCTCCCAGAGAAGAATCCCACTCTAAGAAAATTTGGACCAGGTAGTGGAGAAATAAGTCAAGTCTATTTGTACAAACAAAGCATCTAAACACACGCACGCATGCACACACACAACTTGGGAGCCTACAAATGAAGCAGCAATGATTCATCATGGGCACTGCTGAACATCAGCAGAAAGCATCCACCACAGTGCCTGCCAAGCGCTTGGGGGAACCTGTGGTACAGCACTGGGTAAAAGGCCGTCTATGCTATTTGTATATCTGCCATACAAATAGCCCAGCGTACCAGAGTAAAACCCTAATGTCCTATCCAAGAAGACTGGTCTGAAGTCAGATCTACCTCAGCTGTTCTTAAGGACAGAAAATGGTAAGGGAACTGGAAGGACAGAGGGATAAGCAGAACCTCTCTCCACTTAAGGACTCTGATGCCAGCAACCCAAGACCATCACCTACCTGTAGACATTTCAAGCCTACCTAATTTTACTCTGCTTTGCTCTACTGCATTGTGTGTGTGTATGTGTGTGTGTGTATAAAACAAATCCATGATGTGTAGCAACCCTGCACTGAGCAAGCCTATTGATGCCATTTTTTTCCCAACAGCATGTGCTCCCTTCATGTCTCTGGGTCACCTTTAGGGCATTCTCCCAATCATTCAAAATTACAGCACACTCCATAGACTACAAGGTAGTACACACATCATTATTACATGCACTGGGACTAAAAAAATCAGTGAGACTGGCTGTGGCATTTGCTTTATTACGGTAGTCTGGAACAGAACTCATGTGATCTCCTAGAACAGCCTGCCCCAGTGATTTGGGTCAGAAGAAGAAAGTCATCTGGCCAGGTTCTTGTTTGACCCTCCAGGGTAAAGGAATGCAGTGCTTCCGTCCCCATGAAAATGGGTTCTCCTATTGGTGAGTAGGCAAACTAAACCCTTCAAGACAGGAAAGGAATACACAAACAAGCAAGTGCTGTGCCTGACTTTAGCTACCCCTGTATACGACTGCATGAGAAGTTCTTTCATGAAATAAGTGATCAACACGAAGTCTACAAACAGAATGGGAAAAATGTCAAGTTTTCAAAATGCCTACCTGTCTGAGCCTTCACAATTACACTCATCCGTCGGCGGATGGAATCAAAGTTTAAGGTGTGAAGAAGTTCATACCTTTGAGAGACGATAAGACATATTAGGACACATGAAAAATAAGGGAAGCATCTTGAGCTATGTACAGATGTTGAATGAAGACATCTTTGAGAAAGGCTGGCTAGCTGGCTGTGGGAATGGTGAAAATGACTCCCTAGAAGTGGAGGGCAAAAGCAAGGAGCAGACTTACCAAGTCACACCTCATGGGAGTCTAGAAAGAATCTCATGTGACCAACTATTTTGTTAATCTCTATGGAGTACCAGAGACGCCCTGGTGGTACTGTGGATTAGGCTTTGCACTGCCAACTACAAGGTAGGCAGTTCAAAACTGTAAGGCACCCTGAGGGAGAAAAATGAGGCTGTCTGCTCCTATAATGATTTGTAGGCTAAGAAACCCTATATACGGTCACTATGAGTCTGAATCCACTGAAAGGCAGTGGATTCGATGTATAGGGTGCTGACTAAGTCCCACGCACTGTGACAGGTACTAGGTAATAGTACTAACCTATTCCTCAAGAAGCTCACCATACAGTGATGAGATAGGGACACTCTGCTAGGCAGTCTGTTGTTATGAGAGTGCCCAGAGGAATGCTACCCAAAAGAAGGCATCCTGAAAAATGAAGTGCCTCAGCTGGGCTGCAGGACCCCACACCCAACCAAATGCACTGCCACCCAGTTGATTCCAACTTAGAGCAAACCTGTGAAGGGTTCCGTAACTGTCCATCATTACAGGGGCAAACAGACCCTTCTTTCTCCTGAGGAATGGTTGGTAGGTTTGAACCACCGACTTTATGGTTAGCAGCCCAACATTTAACCCCCCAGTGTCACCAGGGTCCCTTAGCAGGTGTTCAATGATAAAGGCAGGGGGTATTCTGAGTGGATGGAAGGGCACCCAGAAAAGTGCATGAGAGCCTGCACACCATGGGAAACTGCAGGGTCGTCCACGGGTGGAAACTATCAAGAGATGAAACCAGAGAGGGAAGAAGAGACTGGGAACTGGGAACTTTGTGAATCTTGTCAGGGTTTGGAGGTTTTACCCTAGGATCAATAGGAAGCCATTAAAGGGTTTAAAAAGAGGAATACCATGCGTAGTTTTAGGCGTGCGTGGCTGTCTGAGCATGAATCAGGCAAAGGAACACAAGACAGTTAATTATTAGAACAACTGTAAGGAAATGCTTTCTTAAAAATGACCAACTTGGATACATGTATTTGACATAAAAAATATATTGTTACATGGAATTGTTTTTTTCTTGATGAGAGTGTTGGTTTGGTGGTGGGTGTGCTTGTGAACAGGCAGGCTCCTGCGTATTTAAATCATATACTTGTAACGTCTTGTTTGCTGCTGGCCAGATGAGGGCACTGTTGTGGAGTGGGTAGGATCTGGACTCTGACTGAAACTGGGGCCCTAACCCTCAGATCACAGAGCTTTCCTTCCTCTGGGCCTTTGAGAGTCCCTCCCCAAGGGGGCGACATACTCCCCAGGTCCTCTCCAGGAACTACCAGCTTCAGAGATGGATCTCATGAGACCATAGGGGATGGAATGGCAATCTGATGAGATAATTACATTTCAAGTTCAGATGAAGACATTCCAATTAATCACAGAGCCTAATTAAAATCTGCCATGAAGCCACAGTGGCTTTGTTTATTGGGCTCTTCAGAGCCAAAGAATGAAATGCGGGGCCCCAAAGGCAACTGAGTGCTTGCCCTGAAGTTCACACTTGAGAATCTAACACAGGACAAAGCTTTTGCTTAATCCCCACCTACTGCCACGGAGTTGAGTCCAACATGGAGTGACACTGGAGGACAGACTACGACTGCTCTTTTTGGTTTCAGAGACTGTAAACCTTTAGAGGGGTAGGTAGCCTCATCTTTTTGCCCAGGAGCAGCTGGTGGATTCCAACTATCCACTGACTTGTCCGTTAGCAGGCCAATGGTTAACCTACTGCACTGCTGAGGCTACGGCTATGGTCTGGGATTGCAAACCCAGAGTGCTTGGTTGGGCACTGAACAGGAGTCCTTCTCATGGCCACAGATTTTCCTTGCAGTATGTGTTGCAGTCTGGACTGGCACCTGAATCCCAGAATGAAAGTCTATGCAAACCTACAGAGAGGGATTATTGAGACTAAAGGCTCCAAGTGTGAACCGAATTGGTTTCTACCTCAACTCCCCGCCACTCCTGATTTTGCTATTCTGTGAATATGGCTTATCCTCCCCCAGCTACATTTCCATCAAACTGAACTGAGGGCAGTGTCCTGGATTCACAGCTGTACCCAGCGTCCTTTGGGTACACCTTTCCTGAGTCCTTCCAATGGTGACTGTGGGGCAAGGAAAGGAGAAACACCTAAAACATGGTGCTACTTACTCTTCTATTTCTTTTCTTTGGTTCTCGATCCTCATCTGGCCATTCCGAACGCCTAGAAATGTGAACCCATACCTATCCAAAACATAAAGAAAGACCTCTGTTAATCTCTAATGAACAATTGGTTTTCCTGGGGACTGCGGTTACTGACACCTGCTTACTCTTTCCTTTACTTTCATATGATCTCACAAAGGACACCTGCCTTGACTGGCTGACTTAATATCCCAGAGCAAGCCAATGCCTAACCCCAGCTGCAATCAAGGGAAAAGCCATTTGTTATTCCAACTCCACAGCTTGCATGCTGGGTAACCTTTTGGCCACTTAATCATCTTGGGCCTCTCATGGGCAAAACCGGACTTTCTGCTAGCAAATGATGTCAAAATTGCTGGGAGAAATTAGAATGATTATGAAACACTTCAGAAAGTACAAGTGTTGTACATAACGTGGCCACTATTAACGCAATTTGCAAAATATCACGAGCCTGCGGACTTTCTGGCAGGCCTGTATGAATAGTAATGTACATTCTAGTTGTGCATTCATAGTTTCTTTGTAGTCTTCATTGTGCTGGGAATTTTCCCAATTTCACAAAAATATTTTTGGCATGGTATTAAGGATTAGAGAGTCTGAAGATAAAAATATTGACACATACTCAGAAAACTACAAAGTCATTTCTGTTATTCCTGTGATTTGCTTGGGGGAAGTGAGCGTACACGCTTACTTTTTAGCTCCTTTCACCAAAGCTATTTCATCTGGTGAAGAGGAGATGTAGGTTAATTCAGCGGAAGCTGCAGCTCCGTCAACAGCATCATTGGCTTTGATTTCCACAGTGTGACATAAACATAAAGCACGCAGAAAGAGTTCTTCTCGGTTCTGTAGAATGGAAACGAGAGAGAACATCGTAGTTTCCTTGATGCATTCAATAATTGCTCAGTGAAGAGAAAGATTTTAATATGAGAAAATGTTATAACCTCTGGCAAACCAAGTCACAGAGGGTTCTAACTTCCTAACGAGTGGCTGCCTCTCAGTGAGCATACCCTGGGGGCCGCATGAACACAGTCAGGGCACTGCAGTGCCACTGGACACCAAAGCACTAACTTCTTTGAGGCCTGAATGAGTTCACTCAAGAACTCATTTGCAATCCAGCAGAAGCTCAGGTGTTGGGAGACTGTTTCATTTACTGCTTAGCCACCGCTGGGATTTTTATGATTCAGATCAGTCTTGGAAGAGCAAATAGTTTAAACAATGAAGCACAAAGCTCAGAAACACATAGAGGGACAAGCAAAGTATTCCTCAAGTGCCTTTCCCACAATTCTCTCAACTTGCCACTTCTATTCATTTACAAATTGCAGCGGTATTAGAAAAACAAGACAGAACAAATGAGAAAATCCAAAAGAACAAATCGACATTCAAAGGCCTATAGGTCCTCTGCCTACTGGAAAGCCAGCCAGGTAAGATCGTGATGCTGAAATTGCCACCTTATCTGCTTTGTCAATATATGTTACGGGTCCATCCGTTTGAGAGAGTCCATCAACCTCCTCAGTTCCACCTTTGTACTTGTGTCCATCTATGCAGCATTCAATGAATTCCATGCTGTTTTCCGTGAGTGTTCCAGTCTTATCTGTAAATACATAATCCACCTACAAACAAAGACACAGCATATACATTTTTTTTCAGTGTACTTATTCATCGGTTGTTTTAAGGCAGGATGATCTACATAGCCACAGAAAATCACCTTTTGAAGAATGATTGTCAAATGCTTCATAAATTGACAGAACACCATCAAATGAATGAGGAGTGAAGGGAGTATTCTGAAAAAACTGCAACAGCATCACAGGTCTAAAGCAGACCCACTCAAAAGTCCAGAGATAAAGAGTAGGATGGGGGAAGTGTGGTTCTTTTTATCAAAACAAGAATACTTCAGTTTTTTAATTGTGGCAACTAGATATAAAACAAAACCTAAACTCACTGCCATCGAGTTGAGTTCAACGCACATTGACCCTACAGGACAGAGTAGAACAGCCCCTATGGGTTTCCAACCTTTACAGGTGAGATCACCTGATCTGTCTCCCACAGAGTGGATGGTGGGTTCAAATTGCTGACCTTAACAGCCCAACTCATAACCCACTATGCCTCCATGGCTCCTTGACAAATACAGATAAAACATTTGTTTTAGCACATTTTACCTGTATAATTCATTGACATTAACTACACTCATTATTACCACTATCTGATACCAAATTTTTAATCACCTTTAACAAAAGTTCAGTGCCCCCCACCAACACATGGCTCCCCTCTTACATATCCCTGGTAACCTTTGGTTTCTACTCATTAGCCTAGTCTAGGTAGTTAATGAAAGTATGATAGTGCATTATTTGTCCTTTTAGGGTTGAATGTTTAAGAACAATTAAGCACTTAACTAATTTGATATAAGAAGCTACATAAGAAAAGTCAATTCAAAGTGGGAAACAAAAATAGTTTTGACTAGTTTCACACATACACACACACAATGCTGATATGTGTATTATTCGTTAAAAACATTTGATAGAAATTTTAATGAACTGGAGGTGGGACATAAACCGATGGGATTTATTTTCCTTCAAAAGGAACATTTTCTGTAAAAACACTGGATTGAAGTGAAATGCACGGCAGTATATAATGGGTGTAAGAGAGAATCTGAGGGGGCTTATAAAAGTCTGTGGGACAATGGAGTTAAAGGATAATAAAATTTCTCATGAACTTTGTGAAGGCCCTTTGTATAGATGGACTGGAAGATAAGTAAGTGACAGTAATTCAAGAGTGAATACAAATACAATTTAAATTTCTTTCTACATACTATGCATATTTTCAGATATGCTTCAAAAGTTTCCAAGTGAAGACAAAAAACTAGACACAATTAATAAGGATGGGTCAAAGATGATCAGCAAATTTTCACTGATGATAGAAAAAACAAGCTATGAATTGAGCATTTCTATTTTATCTCAGTTTATCTCTCAGTTTTTCTCTCTTCTATTTATAACATCTGGCTTTTAGAAACCTACAATTTTATCCTCTTCTTTGGCAATTTATGCTTAAATAGTTAAAATTATGGGCTGACAGGAACCAGCATAAGCACAAGATTAAGGTTTTTATTATGTAAGGGAGAATAAGACGAACACTAGCAGTAGTTGCTTCTAATTATTTTTCAAAGCCTTTCCTGGTAGCAGCACTGCACAAATATAGCATTCGATCTTCCTTTTTGTTTCCTATTAGCCAGCCAAGTTGCATTCTTTTAAAAAATTTATCCAAGTGGTATTATTCATGTATCATCCCCATTTTTCCAGCAAAAATGAAAGTCTTTGGGGCCTTAGTAATTTTTATTTTATTATAAAAACATTTTATTGGGCGCTCTTACAAATATCATAACATTCTATGACTCAATCACATCAAACAGTCTTGTACAATTGTTACCACAATCAGTTTCAAAACATTTTCTTTCTTCTTAAACTACTTGATACCAAATCCCCTTGATCCCCTTCCTCCCCACACCCTACCACCCAGGAACTCTTATTTTTTATTTATATTTCCCCCTGTATCTTCTACCATCCAATATGACCATTCACATTTAATTCTGTTTTTACTCCCCTCAAGTGGGGTTATAGTTATCAATGCTATTAGCTCCCCCTACATTCCTCCTCCCACCTCTCTTCCCATACCTTCAGAGAACCATTCCTCCTGTTACTATCTCTGAAGGATTATCGATCTTGGCTTTCGTGTATTGAGCAATCTTAATTATACAAATGAGCATATATAAATCTAACATATATAAATTAATGAGGTAAAACAAATAAAAGTCTTAATAGTAAGGGAGGGAATATTAGAGAACTATAGGATAGTTATGTGGTTCATTAGTGCCATAGTGCACCTTGGATTTATCATCCCTTACGTTCAAGTGACCCCTATGAGAGGGGCTGTCCAATTATCTTGCAGGCGGGCTTTGGGTCTCCACTACATCCACACCGCTTCACATCAATTTGGTTGCTTGCTTTTGAACTTCTGATACCTTCTCCCATCGACAACTCATGATCACACAGGCTGGCTGGTGTGCTTCTTCCATGTGGGTTTTGTTGCTTCACTGCTAGATGGCCGCTTGTTTAACTACAAGCCTTTAAGACCCCCAGACGCTATATCTTTTAATAGCTGGGTACCATCAGTTTTCTTCACCACATTTGTTTATGCACCCATTTTGTCTTCAGCGATCATGTTGGGAAGGCGAGCATCACATAATGTCGCATTATTAAAACAAACTGCTCTTGTACTGAGTTAAGATTTAAGAAGAGGCCCGAAGTTCATCTGCTTTCTTGTTGCATATGCATAGTATATACATAAAAAACCAGATACACCTATGCTTATACATTTAAATATTTACTAATATACCTATCTATATATACACCTATATTCTTTTATTTCTTCTTTCCTCTTGCCCCACTATCATGTTTACCCACTATTCGCCTCTCAGTAATTGCTCACATACAATTCGATTGATCAAACATGACCAGAAAAGCTATATCCTGCTCACCATCAATTTCAGAACCCTTATTCCCATCCCTGTCATTATTGGCTCACTGCTCAACTCCCCCTGCCCCCATGTCCCTCTGGAACCATCGGTCTTGTTGCTGTCTTCTTGGGATCACCTATCCTGCCTATCTTGTACGTACACACACACACACACACACTGGAAAGACCATGCAAATTGTCCCAAATCTAACATGGTACACACACACACACACACTGGAAAGACCATGCAAATAGTACCAAGAGACAGACACAGACACACACACACACACACACACACACACACACACACACACACAGGAAAGACCATGCAAATAGTCCCAAGACACACACACACAGATGAATCTCTCTCTGCTACATTGTGAGAAAGACATATTATAGTCCATCAGTCCAGTCCCCTTTACTTTCAGGGTTCTGTATCCCGGGACCCGCTTACCTAACAGCACATACACCCGTTTAGTCTACAGCATTTGTGTCTGAAAGGCGTGCATCTGAAAAGTCCCCATTGCTATTCCTGCAGTCAAAGGTGGCGCGTTCTAGTGCCTCCCCCCGCCCCCCCCAGTTCCACCTTTAGACTTTCAATGTGGCGTCCTTGTGAGTAACTGCTAACCAGTTCAGATGGGTTGCCAAGTGCTGCTCCCCAGTCAGAAGTCTACAATCAGGATTCCTTGGGGACTTCGTGCTTCGTGGCTTCTCTCCCAAGGCTGGTATGTTGCACGCCCCTCATGGTTTGGCTCCATGTAGGCGGGTCAGACAGGTTGCTCCCCATGAAACTGTACCTTTAGGGCCCTCCTCTGTGTGCTGTCATCTAGGGAGAAGACATTCTGTCTCCAACTGAGGCCGGCCATGCAGCTCTCTCTGGGATCTTTCTTTTGTTGAATTCCAGCTTTATGGCACAGTGGTCAGAGAAAGAAGTCCGAGTGACCTCTCGATATATGAATCTGCTCAAGACTGACTTGTGTCTCAGCCTGTGTTCTATTTTCTGCACCATTTTCCCGGATGCTCCCCGACGTAAAAAAAATCAACTTTGTTAGCCTTCATCTTCCCCCGATGCTTATCCAAGGCTGCCACACCTTCAACCCTCAGGTAGGCGTGAACCAATTCAGAATTCTTGTTTTTGGAGTGCTCAAGGGTGGTTGCTTTCAAAATATAAAGTGACATGTGCTTGCCTCTATGGAAGAGTTTATGTCAAAGGTAGTGACTACTGAACTCTAATGTGCATCAAAATCAGCCAGAGGGAGGGCTTGTGACAATTCAGATGGCCAGGCTCCATCTCAGAAGTTTCTGATTCAGTAGGGATCAGATCATTTGCATTTCTAGCAAGTGTTCAGGTGATGCTGATGCTGTTTGTCTTGAGACTCACACTTTGAGAACCACAGCTCCAATATAGGCCATATGCGCAAGAAAGGGGGAGTTGAGGTCGGTTGAGACTCTAGAAAAAGTCTTAATGAAAGTGGGGGGTGAGGGGGGAGAAGAGGGAGAGGCTGCTGCTTGACTCTGACTTTTAAAAAGCAGCTTTTCCACCTTTAATGATGGGGCTGAGCTTGCTGGGAAGGCCCCTTGATAAAGCAAACTCAAACCCAAAAAACATATGGATGGAAAGCTATAGGTGAAATATCTGCTGTAGGACTGAAAGAGCCCTAAACACATGAAATTGCTAATTTGTCGGTAAAATTGGTGAAATGTTGGCATGTTCATCTGGTTCAGCCTAATGGAACACTTAGACTTGAGCCTTGGCTTCACTAATTTTAACCTAGGAACATCTCTTCATCTCTCTGAATTTATAATTGTAACCTTAAATAATAATACTTTTGGCACAAAAGATCATTATCATTTGAAAATAAATTTCAATAATAAACACATTCTGTAAACCTTATAGAAATGGTGTAGATGTTGACTATTATTGCTGCTTTTGTTGTTGTTGTTAGATGCCATTGGGTGGGCTCTGACTCAATAGTAACCCTATACACAACAGAAAGAAACATTGCTCCATCCTGCACCAGGCTCACAACTCTTAGGTTTGAGCCAATTGTTGTAGCCACTATGCTAATCCATCGCACAGAGAATAGTCCTATTTTTTGCTGCCCTTCTACGTTACCAAGCATGAGATCTTTCTCCAGGGACTAGTGAACTTCTGAAGTTAGGGTGGGAGTAATTGCTTCCCCAACTCGATGGTGAACTATTTGAGGGTTTACTTCACCATAGTAACCCCTGTACCTAGACCACATCTCAGGCACATACACAATAGCTCAAGAAATGATCACTGGATTGAATTATTAGGATTAGAGCATTAGATTATAATTAGGCACAGTCCTGGAACTGGGCAGGAGGCTACCTCCACAAATTTTTCAAGATCAGCTGGTACCGTTTAGTTGTGTATTGGATTGAGATCTATCACAAAGTATCCCATTATGTTCCTACTTCTTTTTGTTTGTTAATAAACACTGATCCCAAAATACCTTTGTGGGTGGTGATGGGGGTTAAAATGAATATGGGTCATTTTAAAGAGATGAACCAAGTGTTTACAATGGTATTGATGGAAAGTAATTGACATTAATTTTAGTAACATCAAGTCCCAAAGAATTTCAATTATGACTCATTAAAGGGGAAACTGGTTACACTAATTTTGTGTACACCAGGCCACTGAATGTTAAATGGCCTGAGAAACTACTTCACAACTTCTTTGCATTTTCGTTCAGGTAGTTTCTCCAAATACAAGCTGATAATGGTAGTAGGTTGTTTTTACACTTTATTAATTGAAGTGGTGGTCTGGCTATTAACTTAGTGATTTGACTAACTGACGATCACACCTAGAAGTGCCTGGTTTGGTGGAGGATGGGGATGGTGGTGGCTGAAATGAAAATGGAGGCCTCACTTCACAGATGAAATTTACCAGCTCATTACCCAAAGCTCTACTTTACTTTCTGTAGTGTTAACAACACAGTGTAGAATCTAAGAACGAGACTGCATTCCCATGGGTGATGCGGAATCTACTGAGGTGGAGATATCTCTAAGAAGGAGACAATGGAACCGGCCTGAGTATCCTACCTGTCTCTGGTGAGCATTATGTTAGATTTGGAATGATGACTGTTCTACTTGCAGGAGTAGTAGACACCAGCTCCACACTAGCCATACTCATCCTGGGGTGGGTTAATTCCCCTCAAACAGAACAAAAGTGGTTCAATCGACATCCAGTAAAACTGGCTGTCACCAGAGGTGGTTGGTGTGCTCAATGGGGAAAAAAATGCCATGCATAAGCTCTGCAGATTGATGCCTTTTCTGAGGGATTATGAGCATTTCTACTCAGTCAGCTCTGTCCCGAAAGGAGAATGGTTTAAAAAGGCTTGGGTCTGCGGTGGCAGCTCAGATTACCAATGAAACAATCTTGTAGGAATGATACCTAAGTCAAAAGGCAACCATTCATTCATTTCTGGTCTCATCATTTGTACCCCAGTATCATAACTCTGTACTATACACCCCAAGTTATCTATAGGGTCCTTCCACCTTTGGTGGATACATACATACATAAAGAAGTTATTTAGGTTTAGGTGTAAGTTATGCCAAGAGCAAAAATTGGAGGGGAGCGGCTAAATTATGGAGAAGAGCTTTGAGGTGTAAGTGCAAACCAGTTCCATTTAAAACAAACATGAAGGCCTATTCTCTGTACACAGCTCCATGAGCAGAATTTACATCTCCCTGCCACAGAAATGACATTTTTACAGCCGCGACATTCTAAATCTTGTGAAAATGATATACAAGTCCCAAACCCCTTCAGCTTGTGGAGATCGTTACATGATGCACTAAATTCAAACAAAGGGAACACACTTCTCAATTCTAATCAGAAAAACACCTAGGAAGTTGCCACTGGAAGACTCACAGCTGGACTGTATTGCCCCTGGGGGCGGGGGGGCGGGGCGGGGGAGTGTGGGCTGTGCCTGGGTTAGAAAGGAGGTCACAGCCGGGGTTGCATTGGAAATAAGAGGCAAAAAGCATTCGGAGGCGGGCATGCCCTCACATTTTCCCTTCATTGAAATTCTCTTACTGGAATAAACAACTTGGCGCTCTAGGTCTATATTCCGTCTGATCAGAAAGAAATGTACCAAGAAAATGTCAATTGGACCACTCCGGTCAATTCTATTTTTGAAGAATGCATTTATATTCTATCCTCAAGTGGTAAGAGATGGTGGTGGATACTGCATATTCCTGTATCAAAGAAATAACCCATAAGCTAACATTTTAAGGGAAAATTTAAAGAGCTTTAAGGGGATTTTTGCTGCATTCAAATGCATATAAAATAAATTGGAACATTTCTCAAAATATGCCAGCAAAAGAACTGAAGCCTCACTAAGAAAACATGGCTTGCTTCCTTTACATGTCTACACAAGGGGATTTCCTTTAAATCATACTTTCAAGCATACAGTGATCACACACATTGGGTACTTCAGATGAGAAACCCCCATATTTCAGCATGTTAACTTATTTTAAGTAAAAAGGTGTTCTAACCTGACCAAGTTCTTCATTAAGGTCTGATGTGTTAACAAGGGCTCCTTCATGAATTTCTTCATCATAAAAGTCCTTATCCCATGAAATGAAGAAAGAGCCAAGGAATTTCTGCATCTCTACTGTGACATACATGGAGACGGGAATGATAAAGTTGAATAGAACCATAAACGAGAGGAAGTCAGTGAACATTTTCAAAACCTAAAAGAAAAGAAAGTTCATGCTAATTAAAGGCACAGTTCCATTCGACAAGTATAATGTGTGAGGGAACTTTAAAAATATTGTGGAAAAATGATATTATCTTTAAATTCTTTTACACAAACTTGTTTTTAAAAATTTAAATTCTAGAAATAGTGCCCTTGCTGTAAGGAAAAAACCCTATTATTGCAATAAAACATATCACGATATGTGAGAACAATTTAGAATGACCCCCCCACAAATTTTATCATTATTCTTTAGCACATGGACCTTTCGTCTCAACCCTTTTTCACTCAGTTCTCTGCTCCCTCTGAATATGAATGTGAGGTCACATTCCATGTAGGTATCCTTTGTGTTCTTAGCTGACATCACAGGTTCACACTACATTATAGTGTCACAGCTTCTTGTCAAATTGTCTAGAACTCTTAACTACAGAGCTAAAAGTAAACATAGATGCCAAAAGTAAAAGGGAGAGGAGGGGACACAACAGCTCTGAAGCTTCTTAAATAATTTATGGTTTAGTGTTACCCTACATTTAATGAAACCTGTAAACTAAAAAGGACTTTCAATAAAGGTAGCTGGGTCATCCAGTACTAGACTTAAAAATTTTCAGCGCAAAATACAACTTTCCTCTAGTCCCTAAATGTTTCCTCCCCGCTCCCACTATCATGACACAAATTCTACCTTGCAAGTCTGGCTAGACCAGAGGATGTACACTGGTACAGAAAGGAACTGAAAACACAGGGAATTCAGGGCGGATGAGCCCTACAGGACCAGTGGAGCGAGTGGGGATACTGGGAGGGTAGAGGGAGAGTGGGTTGGAAAGAGGGAACCGATTACAAGGAACTCTATGTGACCTCCTCCCTGGGGGACAGACACCCGAAAAGAGGTGAAGGGAGACGTTGGACAGGGCAAGATATGACAAAATAACAATTTATAAATTATCAAGGGTTCATGAGGGAGGGGGAAGCAGGGAGGGAAGGGAAAAATGAGGACCTAATCCTGGGGGCTTAAGTGGAGAGGAAATATTTTGAGAATGATGAGGGCAATGAATGTACAAATGTGCTTTACACAATTGATGTATGTATGGATTGTGATAAGACTTGTATGAGCCCCTAATAAAATGATTAAAAAAATTTTTTTTCAGCGCAAGGCCAATTTACCTTCAAAGTATCCCGTTCTTTCTGGGTCTTTTGGTTGTACCAAGGTTCATCATTATAGGGATTACTTTGCCACACATACTTTAGGGTCGTGCACACTGCAGCTTTGGTTAGTAATATAAATAAATACACAATCAGGAAGGCATTGATGGATCTGAAAAGTAAGAGATTATGGATTTATAAACCAGGTGATTACTTAAGCGTTCCACCAGATTATCAATGAAACTGGTCAATTATTTAAAGTTAGGTATGCCAGGAGCACAAGCCTAGAATAAACGAATGAATTTCAGTTTTATCACAGTGGCAAAGGAAATCCGAAATTGTTTGTTGGCCACCCACCAATGCTCTCTAAGTACAACAGCTGACTATCTTAGACACACACACACACCACCACCACCACCCGCCATTAACTGCTCCAAGTTATTACCACTACCACCACCACCCCACCCCCGCCATTAACTACTCCACACAGTTAAAGAGATTTTGTAAGTAGCAGTATGTGTTGCAAGGGGAAAGGATGGAGAAACTCTGAGGACAAGGATTGAGAAGTGATTGAAGGACTAGTTCCCACAAATGTACACACCTGCGGACCCATCTTTAGGATTATACCCCATACAGCTGAGGAGTGAAGAAATGGGCCACAGTGAAGACGCCTCCCCCTTTCTTTGGCATTAAATCCAAGCACTGGCACAGAATCTTACAAGGGAAGGGATGGAGGAATGTGGTGGAGTTAACCACTGCACCCAAGGGAGCAGCTGGGACACTCATAGTGGACCTCTGGGGACAGCAACTTAACATTGCTTTAGTCAAAAATGTTCTAAAATTAACTATGTACCTACTAGAGAAGGCATAAAATTACAGTGCTGGAATTAAATGTTAATCAATCCCCAAAGCGACAATCGTTTTTAAAAGCACGATCAAGTCCACCATTCCGGTAATGTGGGGGAGGAGGTGGTAAAGGGCATGTCCATCAAAGGGCGACAGGAAGACAATGATTCATTTAGATCACTTTTCTTAGGGCTTCTCAGAGCCACATTTGCAAACTGATGCGACCGTCAAAATCGCTTTCCATGCCAATGTCACATTACCGAGAAACAAATTTGGGCCCTGCAGTGTGTTCCTTTAAAATCAATTCCATTTGCTAGGATCTTTAGTGGTAGCCACACATTCACTGGGTGATTTGTGCTCTCTCTCTTGGTCTGGGCATCCTGTCTGTTTTGTTGTCAGGCTTGCTTGCCAGGGGTCTCCTTGTATCTGCGTAACTTAGTGGTCGGCCAGTGATTCTGGCAAAGGCTGCCATTTGATGAGTGTGTGGCTTGGAGAACGTATCCACCGCTGCAGCCAGTTCTCCCTTCAGTCATTAGTTGCCATGGGCTGCACCCGCTTGGATCTAGCCCAGACATGAAAATTGTTCCTGCTAGCCAAAGCTGTGTGCAGAGCTTAGCTCAGCCCCTGTAGAGCTCTCTTATTCCCAGGATTTCCAGCTACCTAGCTCCTTGGCTTGCCTCAACTTTAGACCACAACCTCTTCGCTAGCAAATGTGTGGGATTTCCCCAGTCGCATCCTACTGGGTTTGCTGGTTTTAGCCAACAAAGCCTCAAGTATATACTCCTTGCCCGCCAATAAATCTGCCCCTAACAGCAAAACTTCTGGCTTTCAGTAAAAATACTGTTCTCTCCCATACAGTGGAGTAGGAAATGTAGGCAGGGTCAGACAACAGAGAAACAATTTTCTACCGTATTTTCCCTACATTTTAGCAGTTCCAAAGGAATATATGTATACTCAAATTTTGCCTGCCTCTGCTCTGGCTCCAGAGTCCTGCGGTGGCTATGGTGACAATTTTGTCCAGTTCAGGTTTTTATATGACGAGAGGATTCACTGACCTCTTTGCACTGCCATAAGCAAAAGTCCCTACATCTAACTCGATGAATTTTAACCGGGTGTCCCAAACTTCTGAGGAGGAGAAACGTTGCAATTGCCCTGAGTCCTAAGATCGAGGCTAGAGGGGGAATAAACCAAAATGAAGACAGATGCTATTAAGTCGATTCTCATGGCTGTTGACCCAAAAGGCCAGGACAGACCAGCCCATGGGGTTCCCAAGGCTGTGTTCTTTACGAGAAGCAGGCCGCCATAGCTTCCTTCCAGTGGGTTTGCACCACTGCATTTTTTGGTTAGCAGTTGAGCACTTAACTTCTGGGCTGCCAGGGCTCTTCTGAGAGGGGCTAGCAAATGTGAACTCCTTTAGCTTTCTGTGGAGTCCTCCAGATCAGTCTGGAAGAGGATGTTGGATATCCCATGCCAACAACCATGGACAAGACCACGCCAGAGGCACTTGGTTTGAAGATCTACCAACTCTTCACTAGTTGTCAGGAGACTATTTTATCTATGTTCTAGATTCTCCTTGCAAGTTGAAAGTAGACGACCCAAAACCATTAGTTCCAGTAGCACAAACAGAATGAATCAGAGATGCTGATCCTGGAGCAGTTTATGCAATGCAAAACAGCCTCGAAAGGGCAGCTCTTGTTGGGATTATTGATGTTGTCTTGTACTGCAGTTATTATCTGGAATCACTGAGGCATTAACCATTTGGAATCAACACCGAGGAAAGAAATTATGGCACACACTAACTTTTCGACAGCAGAACGTTTCTGAGATTTCCCTTGGTAGTTCAAAGCCATTTTGGTTTCCATCCCAGTGTAAACAGCAACTCCTAAGGAATAACCATAAAAACGAGGTTACAACTGAACTTGCCAACCAACCCCTCACCCGGTCACTTCTGTTAATTTTCACGTCCATAAAAGTGGGGATTCTAAGCCCTCTTCCACTCACCAGCTGGTATAACACTTTTAGAATAACTTAATTCTATCTCATCTACTTGTCATACTTCATGGCAATTCGCCAGCTTGTAAATTCCCAACACCTACAATAGGTTTTGATTTAACAGCAATATCGGCCAGGTTTAATTTTTAACATGCACTATTTCCTCACTGGCCTACAGAGCGTATTGCTGGTAAGTGTATCACCCAAATTACTCACCATATATCTTCTTGGTATTTTTGAGTGTAGCTCCTTTCAGCAAGAGGTTTTCAGGTCCCAAAGACCTACATTAGAAAACACAACGCATTGTATCAAACAGCCCAATCCATGTAATCAACTCTGGTGACATATTTTCTCCTGGTATAAATCTGCCTCCAAGGGGATGGGAATGTATCTGTCTGCTTACAGAACAAGAAATACTTCTCAGAGGAAGCTGAGATGTCCCTCTCTCACGTTACTTTAGGGTCCAGTAGATGGAAGCATGGTGCCAGAGTTATCACCACCACCCAGGGAAAAGCTATGCACAGAAAGAAAGGGATTCTAAGTCATAGACAGCAACACAAGAGCAGGGCAGACAAGCAGAATGTGAGACACAGAGACAGGTGCTGAGGTGACAGACAAAGTGACTGGGAAAGTCATCGTCAGCTGGGAAGCCACAGGGACACACTTCTACAGAATAATTTGGCTTTGGGGAGATCACTAGGCACCTTATAACTAGTTAACTTTCTTTTCTTTGTGGCTTACAAAAGGCAAGTTGGAGAGTTGAGGGAGTTACCATATATACTCGAGTACAAGCTGACCCGAATATCACCCAATTTTACCACACAAACTGCATTTAAAAATGTGCTGAAAAACTGGGCTTATACAGGAGTATATATGGTAATTGGATTACTGAAAGGGAAAGAATGCAACAACTTTTTTGTGTGCACTGCCCAATTATAAATGATCAATCTTTTAGTCCACTGCCTTGCATTGTGCCCACAGCCCAGGACCTCAGTTACTGCCCCTGAACCCAGTGGTCTCCAGGTATGCTTTTAACATTAGCAGCTTCCTGCACAACCCAAGACAGTATACAGAGTGGACAGAACAGGTCTATGAACAGGCTTATAACCAGGGATCAAAGTGACTGCAGCTCTGCTAGTTTGACAACTGTAAGCATCATTACCAGCATCCTCTATACAACTCCCACCCCGCCGCACCTTCCCAATCACAAGATTAGTGACTTAGGACCCATTAGTTCGACCCTGGTCTAGTGTCTCCAGGCTTATCTACCTTTATAGCCCTCTCTAAAAATTAAAGTGTTTATTATAATGAAAATAAAAGAAAATAACCCCCACGGAAGGATATAATAAAGGAATAACTAACCTGGCAACAGCTTCACGACTATTACCATAGATATTGATTCGCCCAACAAATCTGTAAAAAGAACATAATAGGCAAATGGGTTTTTTAATTGCAGGTAAAATCTATGTAGCACAGACATGGGAAAGAACCAACATACAAATCAGAAAAAAAGAGACTCTGAATGAAGTACAAGAGCCAGCTGCATTTCTGAAGCAAAGTCATGTCGAACCAGTAAGGTATGTGATATTTTAGACTGCTTTTTAAAATAGTTATTATGGTGCTCACTTGGGCAGCACATATATTAAAATAGTTATTATGATGGTTTATGAGAATGCAAAATACCATTTTTAACAAGAGCATTCTAGGTTGCTTTTCAAATTTTACTTGGCACTGAGCAAACAGTCTTCTCATATACTTGGATATAGAGACTATGGCTTCTGTTTTAAATTCACGTGATTAAATTCACATGAAGAAGAGTGGTTGGAAGTACAACTCTCAAAATCATCAGTTCAGTAGTTCATCCACCCGAGCATGCGCTGAATTGCTGAGCCCACTGTTGGTTCTGATTCAGAGAATGCACATTTATTTTCAATAAGTTCCCTGGCAAGGGTCCTACTGCTACTACTAGTGGTCAATAGGATAACCCAGGGGTCCTCAAACTTTTAAAACAAGGGGCCAGTTCACTATCCCTCAGACCCGTTGGAGGGCGGGACTCTAGGTTAAAAAAACAACAACAACAAACTAAGAACAAATTCCTATGCACAGTGCACCTATCTTATTTTGAAGTAAAAAAACAAACGGGGCAAAAATACTCGGCAGGCTGGATAAATGTCCTCTGTGGGCCACATGTGGTCTGCGGGCCATAGTTTGAGAACGCCTGGGATAACCCATTGAAAGCCATAGCATTAGTCTGAGAGGGAGCATTTGATTGCAAATTGTAGACATTTCTTGTCTCTGCTTTGCAGCTGATCTCAATATTGAGCTTAACCTATGCACTTAATGCAGTTAGGTGTGTGGTAACCACATCATAAACATTTGTGAATCCACTGTGCCTCGCTTCCTCTTTTGTAACAGGGGTCTTAAAAGGCCTAACCCCTCCTTTAACAAGAGGGTTACAAGTGCCTTACAATATGGATTATAAGCAGAGCATGTTTTTTATCAGAAAAACAGAACTGTGATGTATTCTTATATAGAAAGCATGAGGGTCTGCTTATTCTTTCATCATAAATTAATTGTGCTGGAGCTACAAAGATAAGACATGTTCCCAGCCCTGTAAGGGCTGACAGTCTAGTGGAGGAAGTCAGACAAATAAACAGACCTACTGCAATGTAAGTGAGTAGCATGTAAGAATTAAAAGTACAAGGCCCTCAACTTAGTCCAGTCGAATAATCATGTTGGCTCTAAAATCTGCCTTCATCTACTACAAGGGTAATGCCAATTTGGGGTGTTTCCCCAGAAATGTAAAAGGTGCTTATTTCTCCCTAACTTAGGGAGAATCTGTTCTGTTCTTTTCTGTATTCCCAGGGGCCTAGCTGGCTCTTTGTTCTCTGTGAGCTCCTTAGAAACAGGGAACATCTCTTTTCTTTGGTGGCTATAGATCCTAGTGCCAAGGCGGATACCAAGAAAGAAGGCAAAGGGAAAAGATGCTTTGTTTTACCATGACTGGGTATTAGTGTGAGCCACATCCAACCCCTTAGTCTTCGATTAAGACCAACCGACCAGGTAAAACAAAAAAAAACCCTCACTGCCAGTAAATCAATCCTAACTCATAGCTATCCCATAGGGCAGCGCTGAACTGTCCCTGTGGGCTTCCAAGACTGTCATCTTTACAGAAGCAAAAAGCCTTACCTTTCTCCCAAAGAGAGGCTGGTGGGTTAGAACTGCTGACCTTGTGGTTAGCAGACCAACATGGAACCCACTTGGCCACCAAGGCTCCTCATTATGACCAACAGCACACATTCACAAGATGGATGGTCTGGGTAATGGTAGGCAAGACTTGGGGATAAAAACTTGTCAGCCTACTCTCATTAACACCATGATCAAATCAAACGGCCCTAAAATCAAATGCCAAATGTTTGACAAACCCACTCTGACCATTACCGAGTGAACCTACTCTAGGGAGCCTAAATATGGGTGACTAGAGGAAACTGTCCCATGCTAATGTTGTTTGTGGACAAGAAACGGGCTATTTATTTGCAATCCTCAGTTCTTCAAGATCATCATAGAAAAGGAGAGAGTGCCCCCACATGCCCCCTAACCGCATGCCCCCACATCCTCTCCTTGCTTTCATGTTGGATGACATTTTTGTTTTAATTACCTCTGGTAACTGCATCCGTCTGATAGTACAGCCTTATGGGAAAACAGAGGCTTACAAATTTGAGGGATAGCCATGTTTGCAAATTACAAATATTTTCATAAATCTTAAGTACGATGCTCTGGCCCACAATGATTTCTCTTAGGCTGGTAGTGAACAAAGCTGATTTGATTCAGTTCACTGCCAGCAGGAACAGCTCATAAAAACACAAATGAGAGTCGGCTGGGAAGTGGTGGGTGTTTCTTTGCAACACTGCTGACAAAGAGAAGCAGAGCCAACAGATAGCAGCAACATGAAACCAGGTGACTCTTACTTGTAGAGGTCAGGCTGAGGCTGTTCACATTCAATTGTTGCTCGGAGAGTGGCAATGGATTCGGCTGTACACAGTGCAATGGTATCTCGGACTGCATAATGCGTCTACATGAAAGTAAAAGCAATAAAACAAACAAAATTGTTTCTTTTCACTACTGTACACCCACCCACCTGATTCAAGGAACACATTGTGTTGGCAAAATAATACAAATATTGAAGCATTTTCCCCACCAGTGAAGTTCTATAGTATTATCCTAAAAAGTATATTACAGATAATTAGAAACAGAATCCTTCTATAAGGGGAGTTAAAAGGTAACTTTTAAAAAGTAAGTTTTTCTTCATACTGACAGCTGAGACAATTCTATTTGCAGCATGTATACCGTTGGCTGAAAACCCCATGAAAAATTCAATACACTTCTTCTCCCTATTTATAGAACTGGGCCTATTATTTTGCTCACCATACTATTCAGTGATGTAGAGATACACACAGGAATTGAACATAACCCCTTCAACCAAAAGAATGCTAAAATTGTGCCAACAGCAAGGAAAAAAAGCATTAACAGTTCCATTAGACAAACAGCATAATTAATGATCTTGAAAATGTTCAAAGTGGCATATTTCCAAGAAGGACCCAGAGAGATGATGTTATAGTCAGAAAATGGTATTGCTGTATATTATGCACTTCATCCAGGCAGGTGCCCATGAAACCAATTACACACCGTCAAATAAGGGGAAATACAGAGTGCATCACTAGCCCAATGGGAAAGCTGTTGCTATGGTCTTTGGGGAATAATATAGCACTGCCTTAGCTATATTTAAAACTATCTCCAGATTTTGAAAACCTCTGTATTTTTAGCTGACCTGATCCATTTATTTGATAAAATAAACCACTTAAAAGTTTTCTTCCTCTAAACAAAGAGTTCCTTTATTAGAAAATCTTTAGGTAGATCTCTCCCATTTTTACCTCAACATCCCCTAAAATCGAACACTGTTCAGGAACAGGAACTAGTCCATCATCATGATTTGAAGTAACTCTCTAACAGGTTAATTTCCTTTTCACATCCTTAATTAGTTTCAGTCCTCGACTCTGGATGAAACCAGGAAGCTGAGGAAAGCCCTCCAAGGATACACCAAGAGGGGTGAAGCATATGAGGGGTAGAGCTTCATGCTCCATGGAGCTCTGGAGGAGGGCCAAGAACTGACTGCCTGTACCAGAGAGTACCAGACAACAAAGTTATCCTCCAGTTTGAGCAAATTTACTTTAACAAGTTCATTTTTTTCTAGCTGCAATTGGGCAAACATTTACTAAACTACACCCTAAGGTATTACAACAGCAATCAAATCACTCCTGATTAGATTTATAATATCCCAGGAATAAACCCTTTCTTTAAGCAAATATCCATCAATTTTAGAATCAAAACAGATCAAATTGTAAGGTCAGGGTACATAAAGTTATTTTTGTAGTTACAGGTTCCGTAAAAATTATTCCCATTTCTAAAAGTCTATCTAATATATTAAAAAGGATTATGTCAATATTAAAGGCAAGCAGTGCTGTAAAATTCATGGTATCTTTTATTGGGGGCATGGTTCCCCGCAATCAACCACCATTCTGAGCCTCCAAAGCTAAGAATTTGCTTAGGAGTTCAAGGGCAATTACATAAGAGCTGCCTTCAAACCTAAAACCTTCATGAAGAAGAAGGTAAAAAGGTTAGGGACAGTACAGAGCAGTATTGTACAATTAACTACCTCTCTCCAATTCAAAATGATCTTTTACCTTGCAATTGGATTCCCCATCAAGACTGGCTGTAGTGACATAACAGGTTCCATCACTGGTGCCTGATGATAAGAGAATGAGATCACAAGGAAAGGTTTCATCGGCATGTACTTCTACTACATCACCAACCTATAATGGAGAGGAAAAAACAGTCTTAATTCCAAACAACTGTATACCTCACATTATAACTGTATAACATTATAACACATTATAACTGTATACCTCACATTACTCTTGTTCTGGGGCGGAGAGTGTATCTCAATGTCCCATGCTGCATGATGGGTAACAAAGGGAATATTACCCCAGAATCTTTCTTTAGAGTGCTTGACCTTATGATGCTTTCATATTACCTTAGAACTGAACTTTAACCTCTACCAGGTGAGTCAGGCACCCAGGAACCTGGTTGCTCTGACATTTCTGGCACCAATGTTTGATAAGTCAATGACAAGTATTGCTTCATGAATGAGTAAGAAAGTCTACGTGTTGCAAGCAAGGCAATTCAAGGAAAGTGAAAAGCAAGATTGCCCCTCTGCTCCATGCATGCATAATTCAGCATGCTTTGCCGTCACTGTGATGGCAGCTCTGAATGTTGGGTGCAAGTTCTGCTTCTTCAGTGCTCAGGCCCTCTTTTAATGAAAATATGATCCATAAGAGTGGGAAAAGAATAAAACAATGTTTCCCTACAATTCATCTGATAGGAGATTTAATAAAGCTGTGAGAAACCATTTCCTATCAGCAAGTACCCAACCTTCAAATAAGGAACAGGGAAAATATGAGAGAAGAGATCATGGACCTTTATCTATTACAGAGAATATCTCATCATGGCTAAAAGCTTGGGTTCATGAACCAGGCTTCCTGTCTCAACTCTCACTTAAATATCTGGCTTTGGTAAGTGCCTCCAATGAATCCCAACTACCTCATAGGGTTGGTAGAAGGACGAAATGATGATGGAGGTAAAGCATCCAGCAATGTGTCTGCCATACATTAACCATTTACCCTGCCACTACCTGACTGCCAACATATGAATAGGGATGTTTGTTTGCCATTTGAAAGGATGTAAGAAATCATCCAGTCCAATAATTTCTAACATTATTCAACACCATGGCAATCATAGCAAACAATATATAATCCTTTTGTACAGCACCCTAGAGTCAAAGGAGGAAGCTGATGGCAACACAGGCCACTTTAGAAGGGAATTAGTAAGCCACATGCTGATAAACAAATCGAATCATAAATGAAATAGCTGCCTTCAAAGATAAAGATGAAAATTTCTTCAAGATCTATTCAGGAATATTTTTCCTTTCTTTGTCAATCTTCAACAGTGGCCAAGAACAACAGTATCACTAATTTAACTGGTAAATAATATTTTGTGTTGTTGGCTATTTTCTTCCTCCTCCACAAAAAACATATGATGCTGACATAAAACCACAGGACCTAGGCTTAAATACTAGGAAAAGTAACAATGTCCTAAACCTTTTCATAGGGAAACAGTCACTAGATACTTGGCAACCACTCTCGGTCATGGGTAAACAAAAATCACGAAAAGGGCATTTCTTTTTACCTTCGATTCACCTTGAGAGGTGAAATACAAAAGCCCACTGCTTATGGGGCACAAGCATGGGGAGATGGGCAGGGGCCAGACGTGGAAGACAATGGGGAACTAGCAAAAGACTGTTCAAATAAGGAAATGACACACTGCAGATAAAAGCAGGGAAACTTTTTTTTAAGCATAGCACTGTGAATGAGGGGGAGTGCAGAGTGGGGACCCAGGGCCCATCCGTGGGAAATTGGACATCCCCTTGCAGAAGGGCTGCGGGGAAGAGACGAGCCAGTCAAGGTGCAAGTAGCAATGATGATATATACAATTTTCCTCTAGTTCTTGAATGCTTCCTCCCCCCCACTATGATGATCCCAATTCTACCTTACAAATCCGGCTGGACTGGAGGATGTACACTGGCACAGATAGGAACTGGAAATACAGGAAATCAGGACCAGTGGTGAGAGTGGTGATATTGGGAGAGTGGAGGGAAGGTGAGGGAGAAAGGGGGAACAGATTACAAGGATCTACATATAACCTCCTCCCTGGGGCATGGACAGCGGAGAAGTGGGTGAAAGGAGACGTCGGACGGTGTAAGATATGACAAAATAATAATAATTTATAAATTATCAAGGGTTCATGGGGGAGGGAGGAGTGGGGAGAGCGAGGCAAAAATGAGCTGATAACAAGGGCTCAAGTAGAAAGCAAATGTTTTGTGAATGATGATGGCAACATATGTACAAATGTGCTTGACACAATGGAAGGATGTTTGGATTGTGATAAGAGTTGTACGAGCCCCCAATAAAATGATTTTTTTTAAAAAGCAGGGAAACTAGCTATTCCATGTCAAGCCTCCTGCTAAATATGTTTGTCCACCCTATTGACATGAACTCTGAATCGAGAGTTGAGTAAGTTCCCCAGGTGATTCTGACAGCTCCCCCTGCCTCCATGTGGACCTTATGTCTACACAAGAATCACCCGGGGATCTTGGTCAACGGTAGACTGACTCAGCCCATCTGGGGGTGAAGGGCAAATGCTCAGCAGAAGGTCAAACTGGAACGAACCCCTTGGAAGTCCTGGTTAAAAGGTTAGCGAGAGTTCTTTCATTTCACATCGGCTAGAAAGAGATACAAGCGAATACTCACCACCCTCACCACCGAAAAAAGAATGGCTAGGTCACAGACAGAACTCTTCATGGTGTTTTTAACCTATTAGAGAGCAGAGGTTCCCAAGCAATAGGGTGGTTTACAATTCAAAGTGTGATACGTCTCTGAGGAGACAGGGCAAACGAATGCTTTCACAGCTGGCAAAGCACAGGATGAAGAGATGGCTGCCGTCAACATGGGGAAGAAGAAAACAAGTGGAGTTGGTACCAAACTCTAAAGGCTGGGTGAGAGCTAGTGTGGGCAACAGACAGTTCAGGATCTGTGGGAGCCTGAGAAACAAGGGGAGGTCAGAACCCACCTGCTCTTCTCCACAGGCCTCTCCTGGGTTCTCATGGGAAAGAGCAAGAGCAGGAGACCTACATGACCTTTTGGCAGGTGGTGACTGAGTGTTTTGGGCGCACAGGCACAATGCCTTCCCTCACGTGTGACAAAAACCATCTAGATCTAGGGGGAGAGTCAGGAACCCTCCCAGGAGGGGTCCAGAGGAAAGGCTGACTATTGTCGGGAGACAGGTGGAAGCAAAGCAATACAAGTTTAGCCAAGGTGGTGGTGGTGGTGGTGGTGGTGATGGGGTTGGGGAGGGCCAGAAGACTGAGAAAGTCCTACTCTTGAGAGTCAGACCAGACAGAGCAGCCTGTCTGAAGTGATGGAGGCTGCTAAGACCAGATGCAGCACAGGCTAGGACATGGACACCCAGTGAGGCAGCGCCGAGACTATGGGTTACCTTTTTATCTTGCACGAGACTATGGGACTACTCAACTGGGTACCAGGTGGGCTGGCTTCTTGGCCCATGGTGGCCAAGGCCTTGGGATCATGTAGCTGAGAGACTAAGATCCAGAGAGAGTCTTGGCTGCTGGCTGAGAAGAGCAAAGTCTGTATCCTTACTGCTTGCTGATCCTGACTTGTGATAACCTAATAAAAACACTGAAAACTTAAATTGACTGCCATCAAGTCGATGGCGACTCATAGCAGCCCTATAGAACAGGGTCCTATAGAAATGACCCTGTGGGTTTCTGACACTGGACCTGTTTCTGGGAGTATAAAGCCTCATCTTTCTCCTGTGGAATGGCTGATGGTTTTGAACTGCTGACCTTGCAATGGTTAGCAGCCCAACAACCCCCTATGCCATTGGACAAAAATATTGGAGAAGAAGAACTGAGAAACCCCATATGTGGGGTGTGTATGGTGAAGGAGGGGAGTTAGAGGAAGGCAGAGAGAGAAAAAAGTGAGAAATAGACCCGCTCTTTGGCTCAGGAAGGTAGAACAACGAAAACCATTCCCAGACTACAGATCTCACACAAAGCACAAGCCAAAGGCATCTACCACTGAAGGTATTTAAGAGTCTGTGGTACACTCAAAGCCATACACACAACCCAAGTGAAAACTGGGCAACAGATTTGAATAGACTTCAAAGATATCGAAATTGCCAAGGAAGCACATGGAAACATGCTTTCAACAACATTAGCTACCCAATCTCGCCCCACCCCCAATGCCATCGAGTCAATTCCAACCCATAGTGATCCTATAAGACAGAGGAAAACTGCTCTGTAGGGTTTTTGAGACTGTACATCATTACAGGAATAGACAGACTAATTTTTCTCCCTTGAAGTGGCTGGTGTGCTTGTGGTTAGAAGGCCAACACTTACTCACTGTCCCACCAGGCTCTTATCGTTAATCACCAAGGAAATGAAAATCAAAACCCCAAGATGACACTACTTCACACCTCCTCAGCTAGATACAATTCAGATAATCAACCTTCTGCATTACTGGTAGGAGTGTACACTAGCAGAGACACTGTGGAAAACAGGTTGGTAGTGGCTCCAAACGTTAACCACTGAATTACGACATGACTCAGCAATTCCACCCCTAGCTATATACCCCCAAGATGTGAAAAGTTATTCAAGAAAAACCGGTATAGAAATGTTTATAGCAGCACTATTCATTACACCCCAAAGCTGGAAACAACCCAAATGTCCAGCTGTTGAATGGGTCGATAAAATCAGGTATACCCACACAATCTAAAACTCTTCAGCCATGAAAAATAATGAAGTACTACTGACACATGGTACAACGTAGATGTGAATCTTGAAAATATTATGCAAAATGAAAACCTACCACTATCATCACAGTGATTCTGACTCAGAGTGACCCTACATAGGGTTTCTGAGGAGTGATAAATCTGTAAGGGAGCAGGCAGCCTCATCTTTATCCCTCAGAGAAGCTGGTGGGTTTGAAATGGCAACCTTGAAGTAAGCAGTTCACTGCTTACCCCACAGTGCCACCAGCGCTCAGTAAGTGAAAGAAGTGAGACATGAAAGGCTATATATCTATTTCCCCTTACAGAGACTTCCTAGAATGTGTCAATTCGTAGAGACAAAAAGCCGATGAGGTCGGAGAGTAGCTGCTCAATGAGCACAAGGCTTCCCGTGGGTAGGAGGAGAAAAGGCTTTGGAACAAGCTGGCAGGAACAACTGGGTTTGCCTTTTTGAAGACTCACGATATTGGACATTTTTAAAATGGCTTGTCAAATGATGACTACGCTTTGTGCATCCGAAAAAAAAGGAATGAGGGGAAAAAATAATACCTTGATTTTTTCACTTTCTTTTCTCACTCGCTTTGCATTTTCAATGATGTAAACAGTGCTCTTGTTGACTTCGTTGTCGGCTCTGTGTCTCAGCCAATCTTCGTAGCCCTAAAGGGACAAAAGTAACAGCATAACCAAGCTCAGACCATGAAGGAAAAGTGTTCATAAAGATCTACCACCCCCATGAGTTATCACTAGCAGATTATCACACTCCAGAGCATTCATGACAAACTCCGACAGCTAAAGAGACAAAGCTGCACACTGTAATACCAAAAGCTGAGGCTCACTTTCAAACTTTCCCTTAGGCAAATCACTTTATTGCATTAAAAGGTTCCTTCCTTCTTCAGATAAGTGATCATGAAAACCCTAGCAGAGAGCCTTACTCATCTCTTCTACGAATAAGAATTTGGATTTTGTTTTCTAATGCTCCTCTCAATCCCCTTAATGTTAATTCTGGGTTTTTTTATGAAATACTTTTATTGAGGGCTCTTATCTCTCTTATCACAATCCACAATTCTCTGCCCCCCCCCCTCGTACTTTTATTGGAGGCTCTTACAGCTCTGATCACAAGCCATACACTCATCCAGTGTGTCAAGCACATTTGCACATATGCCGCCATCATCATTTTCAAAGCATTTTCTTCCCATTTGAGCCACTTTAATCTGCTCCCCATTTCTTCCCCCTCCCTTCCCCGTCCACAATCCCATGATAAATTATAGATGATTATTTACATATCTTACATTGTCCTTTGTCGCCCCTCATCCACTTTTCCATTATTTGTCCCCCTGAGAGGGGGTTCTAGGTTGATCCTTGTGATTGATTTTCCCTTTCTCTTCCCACCCTCCCCTAATCCTCCTGGTATCTCTACTCTCCTTGTTGGCCTGGAAGAGTTTATCTATCTTGGATTCCCTGTGTTTCAGGCTCTATCTGTAGCAGTGTGCATGCTCTGGTTTTCTTCACTTTGTAAGGTAGAATTGAGGTCATGATAGTGGGGGGAAGGAAGCACCAAAGAGCGAGAGGAAAGTTGTGTGTTTCATCAGTGCTATACTGCACCCTGACTGGTTCATCTCTTCCCTGTGACCCCTCTGTGAAGGGATGTCCAATTGTCTGCAGATGGGCTTTGGGTCTCCATTCCATGCCGCTGCCACCCCCATTCACATTGGGTATGATTTTATTCTGGGTCTGAGATGCCTGATACCTGATCCCATCGACACCTCATGATCACACAGAGTCTTTTCAACCGTGATTCTTTGGGAAAAAAAAAATTCTTGATCACTCGCCACCCCCCACTTTCCCACCTTAAGGGCTGTATTCGTGCCTCTGAATGACAATGCTGGGGATCACTCCATAGGGTGGTTTCCCAGGTGCCAGTGAGGAAAGAAAGGCACCAACACCAACTGGTAATGGGAGTAAAATCAATCAGTAAAAAGCTTTTGAAAACTAAACATGCTGTTCTTGGAGCCAGCAACTCAAAGATGCTAAAGGAAACAATCCAAAGAGCCTACGGGAAAAAACATTCCCAAAGTCTTTATTTAGCAGCCAAACATTTGATAAAATATTCTAGCAGTTCCTAGTTGGCAAGATAGAAGACCGGATAACCACAGGAGGAAAGGGTAACCTTGTTCCCCAAACTAGTATGCAGAATTTAAAGTCTGTAAGTTTCTTTGGGCAACTTTGAAAAAACACTTTGATAATTATTGTCAAAAAACATGTTTGTACTTACTCAGGCCCTGTGGACAACCCCAATCCCAATACATGATAAAGATTGTTCATCCATCCCTTTACCCCCAGTGCACTGTTCTCAGTATCAATTTCATCCTCCCCCCCCCACAAAGGAACCACCATAAAAATGTTTAAAGTGCTTCAAAGACATCAACGCCAAAACCTGTGGCAGCTCTGAAAAGCACACACACAATATCTCCCCTTCCTACCCCTTCAGGTCCTTCAGCAGCTTAAGAGGACAAAAGGACAATAGTTGTGCTCCTGAGTTCTCTGCTAGAGATACCAACAATAAGAACACACTAGAACGGAACTTTTCCAACCAACGTACCAGACTGAGACAATGAATAGATATGGAAATTCAACTAAACTGCACCTTCGACCTACTCTTTACTGGTATATCTTTGCCCTGTGCATAGATACTAAGGGAGGAAAGGAGCCAAGTAAATTAAGAAAATATGCTAAAATCAATTTCACAGTTTTCAATGGGAAGGAACCAAATATAAATGAAACCCGTCAAGGACACTGCCCACTCTCTATAAATATGCACAAGAACCTTCGACAATGAAATTCAGACCAAAGTGGAATGGAACGCAGGCTTCACAGTAAATAAGAAATGTACCTGCTTGATGGCCGTCACAGTTATGACAAAGAATAGTGGCAGTCCACTGGTGACTGGGCTGGTTGGTGTGTCTACTGTAACCTAGTGAAGAAATCAAATCGAGAATAAAATTAAAATAAGTCAGTAATACATACAAAGTACTTATATGCTGCAAATATGTCAGACGGGAAAGCAGGCACAACACAAAATTAACACGGTGTTAATTTTCATCGAAACAAAAGAAACCCACACTTCCATTAGTTGAAGAGATCATCCTAAATTCTGGCTAACTTTTCCACCCAGCTGGATTACTCCTGTTTGCTGTGTACCTCTTGGTCAGGCCTGGTGCTATCATCAGCCAGGCTCTAGAGATGGAGCTTTGACAATGTGGAGACAAGTTCCTGCACTCAGGTAGCTGGCAAGTAGAAGGGAAAATAGGATATTAAAACAAGTCATCATCAGAAGTGTCTAGATGCTGAGGTCTGAGAAGTAAAAACTCACTGCCATGGAGTCCATGCTGACTCACAGCAAACCCCCGTGGGTTTCTGAGACCGTAAACTGTTGGCAGGAGTTGAGAGCCCAGTCTTTCTCCCGAAGAACTGGTGGTTTCGAACTGCTGGCCATGTGGATCAAAGTGCAACAAGGAATCACTACACCACCAAGGTTCCTTGGGTCTGCGGGCTAAATATGAGTTAACTAGGCAAAGGGAGGGTTGTTAGAGGCCTGGTCAATGGTGAATGCAAAGTCTCCATGGCAGAGGGAGTCCAACACAAGAAGGCAAATGAAGGAAGCCAGTGGCATGAGGGTACCTGAGGGGTCAGAGGGGGAGGCTGGGGTCAGACCACACATGACCTTCTAGAGGTTAGAGTAAGTTGTTTGTTCTTTATCCCATGACCAGGGGGAAGTCATTGAAGACTTCAGGTGGGAAGAGGCTACATGAACAGAACCACATTTTGGAACGATCCTTCTCACTACCTAGTGGAAGATAGATTAAAAGGGGCCAAAAGAATGAAGGCAGAGTTCATCCAAGTGAAAGATGATGGCTTGGCTGAGGGTGTTAGCAGCAGAGTGAGAACGTATCCAGGTAGGACTGGTGAGGGTGATCCAAGTCTTCTAATAGTCTGGTGAATGTGCCTGAGTGGATGCTATCATCACTCGCTGAAAAAGGAAATAGCTCAAGAGAACGAGACTGGAAAGAAGGAAGGTCATGAGTTCAATATGCCAAAAATTTTATCAACTCTCATTCTCAAGCCCCACCCTGGCCTGCCCCTGCCACACACAGATTGCTCTCTGCCATTCTGCAATCTCTTCCCTATCCACAGGTTGCCACTCAGGCACTGGTCACCAAGTTAAACATTTCTAATCCTTCTCAGACTCCTCTTGGAATTCTAACTGCCATTCTCCTCCCATAGGATTTTGTTCCTGCCACTCATATGATATTTATATTTACTACACAATACATTGTGCGGACACAGACTTCTGTCTCAGCTGGAGCACGAACCCCTGAAGGGTAGGAAAGCCATGTCCTTCCTGATGGTTACTGCCCCTGCTTTCATCTTTATTCTCTTACTGCATGGCACACAGAAGGCGCTTCTTATACATTTCTGAATGAAGAGAGATGCACCACAGGCCAAGTGTGGTGATTTCTGAGAGCAGCACCCTCTTCCTAGCTGATGGTAGGCTGCTCTTTAAAATATCTGAGCATGGATTGAGAGGGGCTCCCTTTCAAATGTTCCACCATTCAAAACTGAAATTGGCTTTTCCAGGTATGTCAGCCCCAACTGCTTCCAAGTCATAAGCAAAATTCAATTACAGTATGATTTACTCAAAGTCTTAAAGTGGATAAACAGAAGGACTTAACATGAACAGAACATTTGATTGAGCAAGTTGATGGAGATCTTTCTGCTTTGTTTGAAAAAAAAATGAGGGGGGATATATCCTGTCATGTAGTAGAATTTTCAGGGGGTAGTTTTGGTGAGCAATTTTAAAGGCTTATAGCCTTCAAGATAGGAGATACAACTCAAAGTATTCAAGGACAGATAAAACAGCAGAAGGACCAGGGGAAAACAGACTGATCTACTATCCAGTCTTACAACCTTAATGTGCTTACGTGAATGAGGAAGAACAATAGTTATAATCCAGGAAGATCGGAGATAACTTTTCAATTAGGCTGTCACTGGGGTTTAACAGAGTTAAGCTATGAGTTTTACACTATTTTCAGTTAGAGTATGTGCCACTGCATGTGACGGTACAAAAGAGATGCCCCCTTCCTATGAACGGGGCTATGAAATCCATAAAAAGCCTTCAAGAAGGCAATAATGGGGACAAAAAGGTTTCCTAGTCAGTAGTACTGTTAAAAAATATAATAACCATGTATACTTTAAAAAGTGATTAGTGCTTTATAAAAAGTCACATTAATAATAAACCCTGTTTTATCAAATAGCACTTTTAGAGTTAGAAATGGATTGAAAATCTGTTTGAAGTAGCCAAGATTCTAAAAGATGAGTGGCTATTTATGAAGCTCTTACCTGTACGAGGAAAATGATGAGGAAATAAAAATTTGCAATTCTTCTAAACTGTTCAAACAGATTCTTTGGGAGGAAATTCCAAAGTGTATACTGCAAGGGGAAAGAAGAACAGAATATTATCAGAAACTTCAAAAATCTTACTGATAGTGACTGATTCTGAACCCAGATTCTTACATGAAGTGACAACTTAATGTATTTAACACTTCAGGGGAAAAACATTAAAACTCAGATTGCACACACAACTAAGCAGAGGTATAGTATGCAAAACCTGTCTTTTGAAATGAAATTTTCAATTTTTGATACTACTATATCTCTGAGAATTTCCTGACCTCAACCTGAATTAGGTTTGTCATTACATCCTCTCATCTCACCCTACACCCACAGACTGCCATCAAATCAAACAAGTATTTACTAAGCTTGCCTGGACTAATAACTCAAAACCTCACTACCATTGAGTTGATTTCAACTCACAGGGACTCTATTGGCCAGAACTGCCCCTGGGAGTTTCCAGGACTCTACTTTTTCATGGAAGTAGAGAGCCCTGCTTTCTCCCAAGGAGCTGATGGTGGTTTTGAACTGCTGAACTTGAAGATTGCAACCACACCCACCAGGGATCCTTAATAGCTCCTATAAAGATTTAACGTCTCTAAAACCCAAAGTGAGGAGTTCTATTCTGTCCTACAAGGTTGCTATGAGTGAGAAACAACTTGATGGCAGTGAGTTTGGTTTGCTTTTGCTTGCTTCAATAGATTTATTATAGCAAATAACTATATGCATGTGAAAGTTTCTCCCTCAACAGGCAGTGAAGTTCTATAAGGGTAGGGTCTTAATCTCTTTAGTCTCTCCCCGACTCCAAATAGTGCTTGGCACAAAATACATGAATCCCTTTGGCCCAAATATCTTCTGGAGTCTTGTTCTTTGTCCTAGATATAACTGTTTCTATGAGTCCCTCACAATGTCTTCACAGCTGAGAGGGTGTGCACACTACTATGGGCTATAGCAGCCTCTCCCTTAAGTCAAGACAATACCACATACCACATGAGCCTTTGGAATAGAGGAGACAACTGCCCAAGTTTAGATGGCAAACTACATGTGGGTAAAAACAGCGAACTCTCAAGTGTCAAATAATCTTTAGGTTCAAGAACTGAGCGACCCTAGGAGTTGGAATAAATTTGATGGCAGTGTGTTTGTGGGTCTTAGAGGTTTGTTGTGAGAAGTTGGGTTTGCTACACATCTTAAAGAAGAAGAAAAATCTGAAAGAGAAAAAAGTTTAACCTAAAAAAGACCTATAATTACATATGAATGGCCTCCATCCCAAGTAGCTGCATAATATGAGAATGTCTTCATTAAATTAACATCACAAAGCATGGCTTAGTACATGGGGATTTGCTACTAACCTCACCTCAACAGGTTTATGGGCTGAAGGGTCAGAGGAGGATCCCAGGGAGGGTGATGAAGATAAATGAAGGCAAACAAAGTCAATGGGGAAAACAAAGTCAATGGGGAAACTGCAATCTAACCAACAGCCAACCCAGAAGGTTCTTCTTCCCCAGGGGGTCAAGGAAGTGCCTCCGGGAAGACCATTCAACATTAAGTGCAGAATTGCTTGTGGGTGTACATCACATGGGATATGAGAGTTCACACTGTTCATCAGAGCCTCAGAGGCAGCTTATGGCTAGAAATAAGAAAGCTCAAACCACTCATCCAGTGACTTTGAAGCTGCCAGAGCCTAGGCCAGACCCTAACTGTTCCAGTTTCAGATCAATTTTCTAAAACAACAAGTTTGTATCTCAGCGAACTCCAACAACAGGCTACCAACTGAGCTTCTGGCAACTTGGCCTTCTGGTCCCAAGCCACAGGGCCCTTAATTACACAAATAAACATTGGGGATTGTTAGAATCCTCCAGGGTGTGTGAGGGGGGTGCCAACACATCAAAAAGGAACATTTATTGGTGGTGGTTTCTAAGTCCCTCTACTCATTACCACTGTTTAATATGCTAAATCAATGGCTTCCTTGAGGAACACTGGTTATTTCCTTTACAGGGATGGAAGTTGCTCTCCACTGTTTCCTCTCCTTCAGTGAGTCACAAGCTAGAACATGCCATAGGCATGTCCCTTGCAAGGCACAGAGAATTTTCCATTGTGACCCATACAGCTTTTTTTGGGGGTGGGGGTTTTTCAGCCCACTAGTTACGGTTCTTCTGCTATAGGCTCTCTGTTTTGTTTTGCTTTTAAATAAAAGCTACATTCCATGTGCTAACAAGCATTTTAGTGTATTCAAACTCTTGATCTGGAGTGCTTGCTTAACAGTATTAATGATAAACTTCAAACTCACAGCCATCAAGTTGATTCTGCCTCACAGTGATTTTAGTGATAGGTGCCCTTTATCTAAAGGCTGCCTGGTTGTTTAGGAATCTGGGACAGACCTTGTGTTAATTTGGGTAGCCTAGAGAAACAAATTCATAGATACTCATATGTGTATAAGAAAGAGGTTTATATACAAGAGCCAATGAATATTGAGAAAACAGCCCAGCCCAGTCTAGATCCAGTTCATAAGCCCGGTATTAGCCCATATGTCCGATACCAATCTCTTAAATTCCTCTTCAGACTCATGAAACACATGCAATGATCCTGAATGCAGGACAATCACAGGCCAGTGGGTAGAAAGCCTTGTGAATCCAGTGGCGGTGTAAGCATCTCAGTGCTGGTAGGTGTCTCCATGTGGCTTCTCCTTGTCTAAGGCTTTGGCTGCCATCAGCCTTTCTCCATGTGGCTTATCAACAGCAATGTCTCCCAGGGAGTAAGCTTTGTCAGTACAGTCTCCAAGGGAGTGAGCCGAGAGAGTATCTCTAGCCTCCAAGGAGGAATAACAGAGTTCCCAGAATCCTCAGGAGAATGCCATGCCCATAAGAGGCCTCATTGGCTACCATCTGCTTGACAGGCTAGACTCCACCCCTTCACTCTTAATCCTCTCAAATTGACAAATGATTATATAACTACCACAGACCATCGAGTGTGTCACAGGCACAATGGAACAAAACGGCCACATTTTAACACAAGTTGTAAATAAGCACCGGGTTGTAAATAAGCAGCTCAAACGGTTCACTTTACTAATTGACTGTATCCTTTGTATTAGCAACTCTTCTTGATACAAGCAATAAACAATTTGGAACCTCATAGCAGCCTACTCTGTCAGTTCAATACTAAGGGGTTGAGCCGAACTTTCTTTTAAATTCAGAGGAAAGACTGTAAGGAATAACCAGGACAGAAACGGATCAGGACTTAGTAGCTGTACCTAAAAGAGGACCCTGGGAGGAGTTGATAAACTCCACTGACTCTGATTTGCAAAATGAAGAGAAATGCTAGTGTAATTTTATGCTTGAAACTTTAATCCAAGGCTTTTTTTTCCTATGAGTTCCAAGCCTAACTTTTGGTATCTTTTCAAAAAGAGTTAAGTGAAGCCAACTCATTCTTATCCCACTGAAAGACTTTCAAGATGAAGCTTCGCATCCCCTCCCTTAAAAAAAAAAGGCAGAACAGATGAACACGGTGGTAATGAAAGATCATAACAGAGTACATGCAGTCTTGAGCAAGGCTCTTTTTTCTAAACAGAGGAATTTCTATTGTGCTAGTTTTTTTTAACCAGCTACAAAATTCTGGTGATTCCCTTTCAGAGTACATTAAACTAATACAGCTGTCGAGCACATGTTTTTTTAAAAAGAAATTATTTGTGTTCCCAGAAGAGGGTGAAAAGAACACTAATTCTATATAAATAACATTCAAATTAGGTCAAAGTTTTATCCTTTAGTGTTCCCTGAATTAACAAAACGTATTCTCAGTATTACAGTAGCATTACTGATGGCATCTGCACACTACAAAAATAAACACCTAATTAAAGTACAGTTATTTTATAAAGGGTGGAGAAAGGAAATCAACACTTGCCACAAACTTGGAAGGCAGTGAATGTATTCTATAAAGTGTACATTTCCACAATTAAGTAGCTCTGGTCTGAACACAAACAGCCAAAAGACAATGCAAGGAAGAAGTTAAGAGTCTGAAACGATTGGTCTCTCCCGAGGAGACGAGAAGAATTCCTTAAATAAAGAGTCCCACCCCCTTTCAAAAACCACAAGACAAAACAGATCAGTGATGCAGTAAGATCCACCACAGAAACATAAATAACAATAGCAACTACCATTTACAGACCTGCTACTAAATCTAATATACAGTGCCAGATGCTTCATATGAAGTATTGTAGTTCATCTCACCAAGATTCCATGAGGTGAAGACTATTGTTTATATCTGTACTTTACAGATATGAACAACACTGAAACACAGGGAGATTAAATGACTTCTTTGAACTTTAAACTCAATTTTCTGTCTCCAGGGATCAAGCTCTTCACCACTATATTATATTTGTATAATTATTCAATGTATTCAGCTCATGGTATTGAGCTATTCTTTTGGGGAGGACCTCAGTACCAAGAAAGAAAAGCCAGAGGCAGAGTAAGTCCTGTAGTCCCAAGAGCCCTACATTTCTAGGCTGGGAACCTCTTAGACCCAAGGGAAAATTGATGCCCTAATACATGGAAAGCTCCAAGGCCCATAAGTGTTAAAATGATACAAGGATTTTCCTCCTAAGCTGTGAGCCAATAGAGAGAAAAAGCCTTCCCCTAGAGTTAGTGTATGGAATTCAGATCTCTAGACTCCTAAAAAGAATACATTTGCTGGTTAAGTCATCCACTTGTGATATTTGCTATAGCAGCATTAGATAACTAAAACTGGTATATTTAAGACGAAGTGTCACATCACGTTAAGTAGAAGGAAACTGCATGAGCCTTCATCTCAGACTTCCATACTATCTGTTCTTACTGTTCCTCATTCCACATCTACAGCCTCATATGAAATAACCTTTGACCAGTTAACAGAAAAAAGAGGGGGAAATTGTGATTTACAAGTGAGTTTGCATGATATGGTGGTGGCACTAGATGGAAGTAGAAAGCTACTGTCATATAGCCCCAAGCAGAGGTGGCTTGAACGTTAGTAACAAAAAGAAATTCTCTTAGAGGCTAATTACAGGTGATTCATCT